CTAAATTCCTACACAGGCAGAGGCATATTGATTTCTCAACGCCTGGGAGAGAAATTCCACTCGATCAGATGTCGATCACGATTGGAGTACCTTCAAGATGACGACGGGAAAAGTCCAGACTCTATCCGCTTCAATCCGATGTCTCAGTGCCTTTAAACAGGCGCCTTTTGATGGAGAAAGCTATTGTATGGACTCTAAATACGACGGGGCAAATTTTCAAACCATTACTAAACTTAGGACCTGCTACCTCTGAAGACCACCCTTATAAAACTCCCGGCTGACCTAAAGCCCGCGGGCGAAGCCGTCGAAAGTTGTTGGTTTACGGAGGCCTTCAAATCTGTTTCGCACTGGTCGATGAGGTCAAACAAAAAAAAAGGAAACCAGGAAAACACGTTCTTGGTATCATGTATAAGATACATGTCGAGTCCAAGCCCAAAAACGGTTGCCTTCATGACGTCACTCCCCATGACTCAAACCCACGCGTCCTTGAATTTTTCATGATAATCTATCTTTCGTAACGTCGAGCATCGTCCTGCTGTGGTGTCGTTTGATCCCATCTGCCAGTGACTGGATGACGCTGGTCAAAGGAAAATCTCTCGGACAGATACCTTTCGCGAATTTCCCGCTCGGCCTCGTGAAAATCAGAGCATGAAGGCCAGAGTTCTCCCCTCTTAAGCGAAAGAAATGCATATACTCCACACGTATTGTGATAATCCAGGTCGGATCCACGTCGGTTAGTCAAGTGCATTTTAGTCCACAAATTTTTTTCGTGGATCCGGGATGACAGAAGCATAATCGAGTTATGAAGCGACACCCCCTGGGTTCTATACCGTCACAAACGCCTTACTGCGAGCGCAAAGCTGCTGGCGCGTGGCAAGAGGCTCCTATTCGAAGGAGATAAGCGACTTTCAGGTACGAGATATACTCGTCAGTCCTTCGCTCTCCCTGGCTCGAAACCAAGTCAAAGGATGCTCGATCCAAGTCTGGAAAGGGAACGTCATCTGCAAACAAGTCACAGAGTGAAATGAGATCTCGCATTGAATTTTCCCGGAAGAAGAAGGGATTGTGTCCCGCCAGAGTCGGGGGGGCACTCGAACTGGCGATCATCCATCCATCCCGACTACTTACGTCATTCCAAGCTTTCGCAAGCTGCTTCTTAATGTAAGCCCTACTTAAGAAGCGAGACTTTGCATCCTCACTTTGAAATATACTGCTTACTATAAAACGATTTCAAACGAAACCTTTATTTGATTGCATTCGATCCTTGAGCTTTGTTCGTGACAATTTTAATTGCACGACTATCCATATTTTGGATTTCATTTATTTTGGAACAGCAACTCCAATCTAAGAATTTGTCTTCCGATGATTTTGGCTTAAACAATGAACAAACCTATGGGAAGCTCATATCAAAGTACCAGACCTACTACAATGACAAATTTCATTTCGCCAGGGGCGTCGGAACCGAGAGGCCATGACTCCACTTATCCAAAATTTAGTTTGCTCCCTCCCCCCCCCCTCACTTTCAATGCAAAATTGCTTGCGGACGATGGCAAATCCAATTTGTTTTCCATGATACAAAGAAGAGCGATGAAACACGATTCTAACCAGGGATTGGGATGAAATAATCGAGACCTCCCCCCCCCCCCCCCTCACTTTCAATGCAAAATTGCTTGCGGACGATGGCAAATCCAATTTGTTTTCCATGATACAAAGAAGAGCGATGAAACACGATTCTAACCAGGGATTGGGATGAAATAATCGAGAACCGGCTGATAAGGGGGAGGGTAGAAGAGGCAGGAGCTAACTAACTTTGGCCCTCCCACTTCTGAACCTGTTTCCCGAAGCCACTGCATTACACAACTTCTCTGAGCTTCCATGGATTTCCGGAAGATCTACACCTCTCCATAGGGATAGGTGTAGGTAGAAACCCACGCTTCCCATTTTCCTTTCGCAAGGACGAAGCGTGAGAAGGAAAAGCGCGATTCCACACATCGATGGCATCGGGTTTGTTGGAGTTTCTTTCCCATATACGCATGACCAGTCGGATCACCCACCTGATTCTCTAGCAGCTAGCTAGATCGGAATCGATACTGGCTTCTCATTGCAGCACACGGATTGGGTTTTCTATCTTTGACTACTACTTTTTATGCCGGCTTCGCACCCAAGGCATTCCTCGGACCCCTTTAACATGTAAGACATGCGTCTTTCATTAGCGAGTAGGGACCCATTGTCTCTCATCCCTTAACATAAATGATCCCTCTTTTGAGTTCTCGATCGACATGAATTTCCTGGCTATACCTCGGGTGCATTGATCTGTGGGTCCGTTACATGAGCAACTGTGGGTTTCGGTACCCTGTAGATTCAGGTAACGAGACGGATTGCTTCACTTCATGTTAGTCATTTTACGATTTAGTTCAGATTCAAGGCTAGGCATTAGCGTTTTTTCAGGGTTAGCGATATTGCATGTTACGTGGCAAAGCATGAGCGTTCTTTGTGCCTATGCGGGTCCATTCAGTCGTGCAGTGTTGACCGCGGTGATGGTGCAAAGAACTTCATTCAGTTCGCGATTGGGTTGTTAGGAATAGTCTCCGGTAAAGAAACCTGTCTCTTGTGGGAATCCGTGTGTTTGTATCCACGTGTTTACCACCTGGCTAGTGATATACCCAACCGTCTGTTTGGATTGATTCAGCAGTTAACGGTAACAAGCCTCCAGAGTCTTCAGCGGACCGCAGCTTTGTTTAAGCGAGTTAACAGCACTGATAATCGTGAGGTTATTATTGCTTCAATACTGCAAAAAGAGCTATCAGTGTATGTATCGAAAGCATTACATAAGATATTGACGCGGATTGCATTGATCTGTCCATTGCACTTGTATAGCGCCTGGGTAACGGTGGATAAACTGAACGCACGCTCTTCCGCGAGTCCCTAACTCATGAGTCATGAAAAGCCATGATCGATGGAAGGTATAGGAGAAAATGGCAGAGCTCTTTCTCTCTCTCCAATACATTGCCACGATGGCATGTTATTAATTTTCAATTCCCCCTCTTGCAGTAGAGGATACAGGAAAGAACTGAGGAAACAAGGCTTGTAGAATGGAGGTGAAGCTGGATAATCCCGATCACGATGCAAGAACCGGATCCCTTTAGCCCGCATTATCTATTTTTGGGATCGAAGGAAACTTGCGCAATCCCTGTGCCGTCTTTCCTCTCGATCTCTTCGACGACCGTCGTGGGAAACAAAGTATTTCACAAGGCATTTAGGGGCAACATTCCAAGGAAGCACGCGGCCATTTCTGGATTGCGAAACAGATTCCGCGCTTCTTCATCGTGTCCATCGTCACCTACTTAGACCCTACAGTAAGCTTTACGAAGTTGGCTCGCTGGCACAGGAACCATTTTTGGTGCCTGTGCGTCACGGGGACAAAAGGCATTCGCGACAAACGACATAAATTCAGACAATGAGGGGGAAATGTGGCGGGATCTCCATCCGGAAGCATTATGATGGAAGGGGGAAAAAGTGGCTCATTGCAAGAGTCCTATAGGTCGGTGAGAATGTGTGCTCCGAATATGGAAAGTAGACCAGTGGATACAACAACATCCTCGTGTGCGTGTGCACTCTACGGTGGCGGACGGGGGAGGGCATTGACACTCTACGACTTTCACTCGGCCTGGAGAGAGAGGGGGAAAAAAACGTTTTCTTCCCCGGTCTTGCCTTTTCCTCGCTTTGCACGCACCGTCCACTCTTCGCTTGATGGGCGACTTGCCAAAATCCCATTAAACCATCTTCCTCGTCGAACTGCATTTTGGGAATCGACTGTCGACAGTAACGAGGGGTGGAACTAATTCGAAGTGAAATACATGCATCGACATTGAGAGGACATATTACCAGGTCAGGCGTTCCACGTGGACACGGAAGTAAGATGAGACGTAGGGTGAGGGGGAGGGGGGGGGGGGGGGGGGGGGGAGTGACTCGGTTGGCATAATAGCAAGCTTGGCTCTCGTGGCAGGTTACCCGGGTTTGAAACTGTCAGAGGTTTATTTCCGAATGTCAGCCCGGCGTGTCTGATAAGGGAGACCCCTGAGCACGTAACGCTCCTGTTTCTAAATGTGGGATGTTAAAGAACGTAAATGGTGAAGGCTGAGCCCGGGTAGCACAGTGGCCTCACTTTTAAGTCGTACCACCTTTAGGCCCATGATGGAAAAAGATACACATAGAAAAGATACACTCTTTAAAGTAACATCGTCCTGTTTTAAAAGGTAGAACGAAAGCCAAATCACTTTATCTCAAAGTAAATACTCGGCCTCACGGTAGCAGGTGACAAGGTCCCGAGCTCACCGGCTCAATTCTGAGTTACGATAAAACTTTGAGCCCTCATAGAGGTATGGGATGACAAGGTGCTAAGAAGTTACTTAGTTTTATGAGGGCAGTGGGGAAAAAGCTTAGTGGGAGGCAGGGTTTCACAAGGGATATCAGTATGGGTGTATTCATGGACACCTGCGCCTGGCGCCTTATCGTTCATTGTGTAAGTTCACGTCGTTACTGTTTGCGGAGAATTGAGAGCGTCCCGGAAGTCATCCTTCAAGCATTGATCAGAGGTCTCATCAATGATAGTATATTCTCAGTTTTACCGTATTCTTAGTTCAAGGGCTAATCCTTGACATGGGCATTGATATCGACTCATCGGGAGTTTCGGATACTTGTTAGGCCTGAGATGCTCACTCTTGTCGTTGCCGATACTGTATATGTATGTAGATGGGCCTACGTGAGTAATGGACCTATGAACAGGGACCCGGATTCCATCCATGAAGTCCATGGAATGCAGCGTTGTGACCCCCTCCCCCCCATACACACACACATACAGACATTGATGGCCATGCCCTCCTTTCCATCCCTTCGTCTTTCTCTTGATTTTTTTTTCTCGGATCTTGTAGAATGATCTAGTTGTCCAAGGACACAGGACACTACGAGAAGGTAGCGTCATCTAATGCGTTGCAGAACCTGCTTGATCATTCTTGCTTGGACTACGAGGTGTCGCTGAAGGACCCAGAAGATGGCGGCCCATATGCCTCCACCACATTTACCTCGTGGGAGGGGAGGACTATTTCATGGAGGAATACGGAAACCTCAACAAGACTTGCCACCTGTATCCCTTGGTAAGACTCTGCATTATGGCGATATAAAGGAGTATATAAATAAATATATGCTGCTGACATGGATACTGTGTTGTGGGGATACAGTGAAAGAGTGTGGAGTTTATAGCTTTTGTCAATTGGAATATAGCACTGTGCTGCCAAAACTTATTGAATGCTACTCAATTTTTTATTATTCTACTACATCCATCATGGATGTCTTGGAATATTTATTATTTGGATCGGGATTTTTATTTTTCTCATTGGCTTTACCTTATTAACCGATTGTCCCACATTTGTGTAGTGGGTGGGATAGTCATGCATTAGTTAGTGTCAGATCTGTCAGTACTTTCATGTGTAAATGATGGGAATAAACTATAGCAAACAAGCTATTAAGTGAGGATTTATTTCTAATAATGCCAGTTTTAGTATCATATATTAAGAAACCACTACTATAAATTCATGCTACCTATATTTCCAGTTTAACCTCAGTTAATGTGGACTCTTATATGGTCTGAAACCATGGTTTATCTCCACTTTAAAGGACTTCTGTTAGCTGGAGATAAACTGAAAATGTATTTGTAACTGAGACTGAAAATAACTAAACCAGAGGGTATAAAATCACTGAAAATGTATTTGATTAGTATGGAATTCCTTTTTCCTCTGTAGAAAGTAGGAGAAAAAACAATGCTGTTGTGTAGTAAGTAAAATATTCTCCATCAAAACTTGTATCTTGGCGCATTTGTTTTACTGCGTCTTGCAAAGAGCTACTCCATCTTCAACTGTCAACTGTCAAGTCCTTCAGATTGCTTTGCTTCATGGGTCTGCTCTATCTTGCTGGTCACTTCTGGGTCAAAAAGAGGAACTCTCTTTTCACCTTGGAGACAAAGTTCTTTTTAAAATATTGGTGATAGACTACTCAATTAAGAGAAATGAAGATGCAAGAAATTAAAAAAGTAAACTGGTAACTCTGGAGTCGGAACACGTTTAGAATCCGTTCCCACCCCAGATTTTTTCAAGACCACCTGAGACTGATGCATAATGTTCCTCTGTAACGATTGGTGCTCGAGAAAGATAAGCGCATCGCTTGATTAGCACATTTTGTGGCATTCCATGGTTTTACATTATTCTCTATGGAAAATACGGAAAATGGGGGCAGCCATGTTGAATGGAGGCCGAGAACGCCCATTTTCGTTGGAACAGTAAAAACCATTTATGCCTGTATTCTCACGCTGAACAATGCTAATCAAGCGAAGCGCTCCTATTTCTCAAGCACCAACTGCCTCAGAGAAACATTATACATCAATCTCAAGTGGTCTTGAAAATATCTATAATTTCGTAATCACTTTGGAGCTAGAGACTGAGACTAACGTTTCATAAACTTTTGTGGGTTTTCACTAAACCCAAGTGCACTCTAACCTCAGAGAACTAGCGAGAGACACATACCCCGGGAGCTGCATTCCTTCCATGTTGGGCCGAAAGAGTGGGAAAGTCAACCTATTTTGGGGGATGATGGGTCAGTTGGGTTAGAAAATAATTGCGGCCGAAGGCCGTGACCCTTTTCTAACCCAACTGACCCATCATCTCCCAAAATAGGTTGACTTTCCCACTCTTTGGCCTTTGACACTGAACCTGGGAGAAAATAATGGAGGTCCACCTACTGTGCTAGTGCAATGACAGGTCTCACTTGAATGAAGACTAGACCAGAAGGGCGTAGTAAAACGTGCCACGAGAGTCAGGTCAGCCCGCGGGAGGACCGACCTCGACCCGAGTACAGCACACATGCCCAGGAAGGCCATGAAATGTGCTAGCAGATGCAAGGGCATGGGCGGAGCGTGTAACATGGCCACTTAGGGTTGCCAAGGCCCAAGATATGTGACGAGTTTCTAGCATTTCCTGGGCGAAACACCGTCCATGTGCCGTCAAGAGAAATATATTCCCAATATATCCATATAGATATAAGTATGATACTAATACTTATTTGCTCCCAAGGGTGTGGGAACGTATTCTAAAGTTAAACCCAGCAGTGACTGATAATGACTAACATGGCATGATGAAAAAGTTGCAAGTTAGTATGACTTTTGGGGATTAGGCAGTCCTAGTATCAGTTTTCATATTGTACATGAAGTAAAGTTGAAACATTTCTTCCAGGGAAAGCATGAGTGTAGAATCTTGTCTTATTAGGCTTAAGAAGACAAGGCTCTTTTTTGTAGGAACATCTTGGTAAAAATGTATGTAATTAATCATGCATGAGGCCTATAGAGCCCCCTCCAAGATTTTCAGAAACAAAAAGACAATTGATTTTAGGCATAATTCCATGGAAGTTCAAAATAATATGTTAAGTTCTTTTCCAGGGATGCCAGTTTCTGAAGGGCATAAATACATGGTACCCAAGAAAGAAATTCATGATATTGGAGACATGGAGAAATGGCAGAGGTCACATGCATTTCAGGTGAGATACTTTTTTGTTTTTGGTATTTGCTGTGATATTGAAGTCCCGGGCAAAATCTTTTTCAAACATTTTCTTATATTTACAATTTTTTAGCTGCTCTGATGAACAAATATTTGAATTGGTTTTTATGTAGATTTGCCTCTTATGAAGAACCAACTTTTCCCACAAAGAGATGAGTAACAAGTGGATACCATGTGGTGAATTTATTCTCAAAATATAGTCAGTATATATATGAGTCTATTGAAGACTTTATTTTTTATGAATTTGAATTAAAATTTTCATAAGAGTCAGGTCTAGGGACCAGCACATGTCTTTTCAGATGAAAAGTTTCCAAGCCAATGGATGGAATGGTGAGTGTTCATCCTATCACCTCCCAGATCCCTAGGCCTGACCCCTAGAGACTTCTGTTTGTGGGGACGTGTTAAGAACATTGTGTATGCCACACATGCATACGAAGCATGACTGAATTGCGCACACACATTGGGAGAGCAGTCAGGAACATCACACCTGCCCAATTGGAGGCAGTTCTGTATATGTTCACTGGAAGGTTGCATGCATGCTTTGACAAAGATGGCAGACATATGGAAGTGTGAGATGTATGATTTGGTGTGTTATATAAAAATGTACGAAATAAAATTGTACATGATGCATATAGTGTATTTCTACACCACCCCATTCCCAAGATATATGAGCATGAAATCTCTTTGGGACTTTCTGTCCACCCTGTGTATATATGCAGGGTGGGCCAAAAAAACTGCACTGAATTTTGCAGCTTATATCTCAGGACTGGTAAGAGGTAAAGGAATGAGGCAGGACTCATTGGAAAGAGCATTCAATTGGCTTTAAAATGAAGCAACTTTTATCTCAATTTTCAAAATTTTAATTTCTGTATAATCACTGTTTTAAAAGTTAGAAAAAAATTATGCTGCCATTTACAATTAGGAAACTCATTCAGTATTGGATTCAGAGTATTGCTTCTCCTTACTCAAGGCCTTAAACAGAGTTTTGTCTGATTCATTCAAAACCACCATGAAGCTTCAAAGTTCCAGAACAAATGAAAGCTGCTTCAAAACAGCACACCAAGAGGAGCGATATGCTACACAATGCTCTAACATGTAACAGACTAGTTGTTGAGCTGCATTGCCTGCCCAAAGCTGAGAATACCCGACAGTAAGGGGAAACACAGAAAGCGCACCGATCAAAGTCACAGTCACGCCATGGCTGCAGCCACAACAGCTTACTTTTCGCAAGGGGCTTGGAAAAGTGACCATTCAAAGCTTTCCTGTTATATTTTGTTCAACAAATGGGGTGTCATTGTAAAGGTAATGAGATGCCCTTTTTTTTATGAGGGCAATGGGGTTCCAATATACTGCACCATATTGATGTGGGTTTTTTGCCCCACCCTGTATCACCCTGCATATATACAGGGTCTTTGCATTTGAACACAATGTAGGGAATATTTTGCTGTCTGTAGGAGTTTGGTGAATGCTATAAGGCCCACTGGGTTGCATATCTGCAAGGAAACACACCAGGGATAGGTTTCATCCTCCCAGATATGCAACTCAGTGAGCTATAAGGCATGCCCAGAACTCCACAAACAGGTGGCAAAAATGTCCCTATGTTGCATTTAAATACAAACACCTTGTATGCATACACTTGTAACTTCAAAAAAGTAATGAGTCTCATTACTTTTTTGAACACCCATCCTACTGGATGAAGGTAGTTGCCCAAATGTACTGTAGTAGTTTGGTTTAAACTTTTTTAGTTTTATTCTATTGCCAGAGGATATCTTGTGTAATGTGTTCTTATGGTAAAAGTTAAGTTAGTTTTCTTTGTGCAACTTGCCTTTGCCTCACCCTGTATGGATGTTTCAAATATATATGTGATACAAAGACTAACCAATTCAAACTTCCAGTACTTCTTCCAGCACTGCACTTGGCAAGGCATCAGCCACAGATGCTGGTCTTCTATAGTCTTCTATAATGATATGTGCAATAGATGTATGTAATTCAGCCAGCCTAGCATTAAATGCTGAAACACTAACCAAGCTGGGTGACAATAATATAAAGAGAAAGTGATAATGAAATGTGCCTTTGAGTACTGAAAGCTCTGTAGGATCCTCATAAGGAGCATGATCCTGCTATAACCTTCAATGTAGATGGATAATTTTTGGAAAACCCTACAGAGCAATGATGAGCTTGAAGAAAAGGACAGAGTATGGCAAGGCTATCAGGTGACTGCACTCCTCCTGTATATGGGAGACATATTCAGACAGATGGTCATGGCTGTTTAGGGTCAAGGCTTTTACACTTCTCAGCCATTCTGCTATCCTTTTTTGCATTTCTTCCCTATAATTTATTGGTTTTTCTCACTGGAGTCTTATATATATTTGTTGGATTAGATTTGGTTCTGACTACTCTGAATGAGTAGGCTTGGATTGCAGCACATTGTTATTTGGGAGTTCTCCTGTGAAGTAGAATTTTCCCTTTCTACTACTCTTTTCTTGCAGAACCCAGTACGTGGAAAGGTCTTTTGGGCATGGATCCCAATAGGGCTTAATTTCTCCTTAACTGTGGGTTGGAGGTAGGTTGCCTTCCTGGCATCATATCCACTTCCACAGTACACTTTGCACCTGTTGCCTTTTTGCAACATGATCATGAGCTCTCTCCAACCAATAGAGTGTAAATTTATGGTAGCTGTGGGTATAGTCACCTGACTGCCTAATACACATGCTCTATCTTTTTCTTCTAGCACATCATTGCTCATCTGGGATTTACAAAAAAGACCTAACTATTATCTCTAAAGTGGAAATGCTCAACATATCAGTATTTGGTGGCATTTTCTATCTGCCTGTATTACAGCCTGAATTGATGTACGAGGAGAAAAATACTTCCATTCTTTACACTGTGTCTTGTTTTCAAGTGCTTAAAATTCAAGGGTTTCTTTGTGCATTGGAATTAACTTTTCCAAAGCAATGAGGAAACTAGCCAGTTTCCTCAGATCTGAATGCAGCTGAAAACTTTTGTTCCATTGTGAAAGGGTGTTGAGGAGAGGCTGGTTACAGAGCAACACATCCATGCCTGTTTTGGAAGGTCACCCATGGGAAAAATTTCAGGAAAAATTTAATGACAGATATAATTCAGCCCCCTTTGAGGTCCTACCCTAATCATATTTAGGCTGCCAAGCAGACAGGTAGAATATTTACAAATACCAACAATGGGATCATTTTCCCTTCAAAGAAGGAGTAAATAATATACATCAAAGTCCAGGTGCTGCCATTTTTATTTTGTTCACTATGTAGGGGTCAAATCATATAATTGCATCCTGCATGGAATCATTGGTGCCATCATGCTCATACTCATCTGCATGAGTGCATTTACAAAATATTTTGTTCCTTTTCTGTAAGGAGTTCAAACATGGAAATTTCATTTGAGAAATTTCATTCATATCATTTGAGAGAAGTTTTTACAATAGACATCAGTGTACCTTAATGATCAAATTTATCTTGCATAGCCATTGAGGTAATTTGTTCCATGACACAAAGTCATAAGTTTGAGTTTGCATGGGAGAATACATCAGTAGGGATTCTTTTGTTCAACTGATGCTTGTTCCATCTTTCTTAACAAGTTTCAATAATTGCATCACAGTCTAAGCATTCCATTGTCATCCAATGACTTCAGTGGAAATATGCTGGGTGGCTCAGAAAAAACAATGCTAAAATGTTAGCAATGTAATATGGTAATTTATTTGCATATTTTAATTTATATCAATACAAAGATGTGAAAAATAGAATAACACCAAGTAGGATTTACAGCATTAGAATCCTTGATTTACTGATGAATAACATGCTTCATGTGTCCACTATTTTGGGCCAAGCAAACTTCTTGTGTTGAATGATATCTGTGACCATACAAGTGCAAGTGCCAGGTGCCATAGATGAGATGACATCAATATGTTTTGTTTTAAGCCTTCAGTTTACTTTTAGTTATTATTTTCATATATCATGTCTTTGTAATTGATAAAGATTCAAATATGTAAATAAATTATCATATTACATTCCTAACATTCTAGAATATATTTTTTTCTGGCTACCCTGTATATTCTTTCATGTCTTTTAAGAGCCACATTGCTGAGAATGAAATGGCCATATTTAAAGTTCAAATTGTCAAGAAGTTTAAATTTTTATTTCAAGCAATTCAAGACAAAGCTTGAATCAATTATTGATTCAAGCATTGTCTTGAAATCTTATATTGCCTTATAAGTGATGAGAATGTGTTGATCAAACTGATGTAAGACATAATATCAGAAATGTAAGTCTGTCATTTTCAGGGTGTTTTCATCATATTGAACATGAGCATAATTTTCCTGTCCAAAACTACAGGTACACATATGGAGCCATTTTTTGTTCCAGGAATACTTGGGATTTGTTCTGGCACTGAATGAAGCTGCTAAAGGGAAGTCCTGCCTAGATGAGTATCCTGTTAGTGATTGTACTAAAGCAGTCATAAGTCTTCTTGACTGTATTCAAGGATGGATCAAAGACATCCCACCCATAGAACAGCCTCAACGCTTTGGAAATCAAGCCTTCCGGACTTGGTATGACAAGCTGGAGGAGGTAAGCCTTTTTCTTCTCTGACATAAAGCATGACAAAAGATGAAAAAAGTGCAGTCTGTACTTTTGGCTGATTTGAGGGGGGGAGGGGGGGGGATGAGGAGGAAAGCAATATTCACAAGCAATTGATATTTCCATGTAGTCAACCTTTAAGAAAACTTTTAGACTAGTCAGCCTTGTCAAGATGCCTGCTAATGCTTTTAATTTTATAGTTAGACTTTCTGCTGTATTTTATTATTTGCAGAAAATGGAGGAACTCCTGAAAGATGTGATACCATTGAAAGTGCATGAGAGCATTCCAGAAATTTCAGTGTACCTTCAAGGGAGTTTTGGACACAGAACACGGATAGACTATGGAACTGGACACGAGATGTTTTTTGCCTGCTTCCTGTGCTGTCTTTTCAAGATAGGGGCATTAAGTAAAGATGACACCCAAGCTGCAGTCCTGAAAGTTTTTGTCCGGTTTGTTACTCCATCTATTCTCAAGTCATCTCCCATTGAATATGCTTGTCAGGATCCATTCATATAACTTCCCATTTTTTCAGGTATGTTGAAGTTGTGAGAAACCTGGTTATCACATACCGTATGGAACCTGCTGGTAGTCATGGAGTGTGGAGTTTGGATGACTTTCACTTTCTTCCTTTTGTTTGGGGATCAGCACAATTGATTGGTAATCAAAGAAATGTTTGTCCTTGTGTATGACTTATAGATAGCACAAATTTGCATGACTTTTCACCAGAAAATTAATACCTTTTCTGCACATGTGTGATGCTTTCTTATTTAACCCTTTCAGACCTGGTGTCCATTCCAATGGACATTGCATTTTCATTGTGTCTATGGACATTTCTTGAATTCTCTTGACTTTGCTCTCAAAATTACACTACAATGGGTGCAATTATGCTTGGCTCAATTCCATTGGAGGCCTTCTTTCACCTATCAGTTTAGTTTCATCTTCAGTTATTTAATTAAATATGTATTATATAATATATGGTAAATTTATAAAAAATATAAAAACGATATATAGGACATAGAAATTTAAAGTACAATAGCAAAAGAGCTCAAAAATGCAAAAAAGTATATTATTCCAAAAATGGCCTTAATTCAGGTCTGAAAGGGTTAAATATCCATCACTTGAAGGTTTAATTATGCTCAGTAGATGAAAATGTGTGAGTAGTCTACTGAATATTTCTTAGGACTGGTGTCACTGAATTGGTGAAGCAATTCATATAAGTCTTCTTTCTTTTCAGGCAATTCAAAACTGCCTCCCAATTCATTTGTTGATGAGAAAACAGTTGCCCTGAATGCAGATGGATACATGTTTATGGCATCCATCAAGTTCATCAGTGAGGTATTTGTAACATCCATTTTCTTGTTTCTTATCCTCAAGTGGCCATATTAACCTGAATCCATGTGGCTTTGTGCATAGAGTAAGAAAAATTGGCCTGAAAACCACTGTAGCCTGGTTGATATGAAGATCTGAAAGAAGGTGATGTGGAATAAATTGTAGATACTGTTTTTTTTTTTTGACAATGTCACTTGATTTCTCTCTGCAGGTGAAGAGTGGACCATTTTGTGAGCATTCAAACCAGTTGTGGAACATCAGTGCCATTCCTGAATGGCTCAAAGTAAATTCTGGTCTCATCAAAATGTACAAGGCTGAGGTCAGTTGAAAAGCACTTATTTTACAGTTACCATTGCATTTATTCTGGTTGAAGTCTTATTCCATGGTGTACATTGACAATTCCAGGTATTACAGAAATTCCCAGTCATGCAGCACAACATGTTTGGCTCCTTGCTATCTATAATGCCTGTGACAAAGCAAGAAGGGGACTCAACTGGTACAACAAGATCTTGACATGATTGCTTGCATTAATTCCAGGCCATGCATTCAGGCCTCTGTGAATGCTAATAGGTACAGAGATAGGACTGTCATGTTGAATCCACCTTCCTTGCTTCATCTCATCAAATTGCATTGGACAGCAGGTGAAAAATTCAGTGTTCTGTAATGAGCTAGTAAGTGAATGAGAGAAGCTGTTGGACTTCACCTGATTGGATCAGTTGAGTAGGTAAAATCCTTGTGTCAACCATATATTGGCCATAGCAGACTGAGAATTTGTGGTTGGTTGCTGCTAACAAGGAATGGTTTCCATGGGTTTCCATGCTTTTATGCTTTCATGGCAACTGAGCAGCTTTTCCTGGAGTTCACAAGTATACTCCTTGGCTGGTAAAGATCCTGTCATTCTAGTAAGATGAATTGTCTTTTTTGTATTGCTCTAACTTCACAGAGACTCAGGGAACTTCCCTGTGGTGGAACTTTCTTAGCTATCTATAATGCCTGTGACATTGGGAATTTGTTAAGGCTGTGGAGCTTCTTGCAATTGTGTTTGTAATTGGTCAGAGGAAAGTGTGGCAATTGAAGCAAGAGAAGAGAGCAGAGTGTTGAGGTAGAGTCATCAGAGACAGCTTTTTGCTTTAATGTATATGCAGACACCATTCCTTGTATTTATCCATACACCTCTCGCTCTGAAACACTGGTGGTGTTTGGAAGTCCATGGTGGAGATGAAAAGTGGAAAACCATTGTGATGTATCCACTTAATGCACTCAATATGAAGCTTCTAGCTCTATATCGAGAGATTACTTCAAAAGTTTCATTGGATGCAGTTGTATGTTCTAAGTTCTAACCCACTTTGTTTTTTTAATGTGTTGCTGTAATTGATTATCAAACCTTTTGTGCTAGAAAGGACTGAATTCTGGGAAACTTTAATCTATATTTCACTGTCCCAAAACCTTTGAGTCTCTAATTAGGCCTATTGGGAAAGAATATAGGTCCCAGAACTGCCATATCTCTCCTGCAATCTTGCTTTAGCTCTTTGCTTCTGCCTAGAGGTGAGGCCTACCCAGTGTTAATATTTAATTAGAGATATTCAATCTCTAATTGCTTCAAAATAATTTATTGTTCACATTTTTCATGCCTCAGATTACTTTCCCTGTGGATCATAGTGGATTAAACTTCAATTCAAGAATTTTATAGCAATATTGTTGTTGAGAATTATATTAATTGTTATCACCTATAGACAGAAGTGGGACTGAACCAAGAACTATGCATTTCTCTGCTTGCTAAAGTCAGTCTGGACTTGACACAGAGGACATCATCTGCTGAGTCTGGTAAGGAAGGGTTGAAGAGTTTAAGTTTGTGTTCTCTCATTCATAAAGGACTCTGTACCACCTCATAAAAACTTGAAATTGTGTGTCTCTAGTAAATCTGTTTGACACCCATGTGAATAAGTCTTAAAGTCTTAAAGCCATTTGTGAAAGTCAATCCTAGAATGTATTTCTCCTTTAAAGTCAGCTCCATTATTTTATAATGAGACTGGAGTTTGGGGATGAGCATGAAACATGAGCAGCATTCATCAATACTAATTAGTACACAAATTCACTTTTATTCAATAGTGAATGTTCGGTTTGTACCACTAATTGAGGATAATTTGGTTGGTACCTCCATTCAGTTTATTTTTCATGCTTTCATTTAAGAACTTTACTCCATATAAAGCTTTAATTTCTTTGAAAGAGTGATTGTAATTGACATTTTGGGATTGCATTCTGGGGTTAAAATTTTTTAACTTTCCTGCCATTTATTGAATGTAGTCATATTGAAGTTCCAACTTTCTCCTCCGATTCACCCATCTGTCATATTGAATTCATATTGTTCTTGAAAATGGTCCATTTCAATTATGCATCTTGTTTTAAAATGGAGAAGGAGTTGATTAGGGCAGAATTTTTTTTTTGTCTCATCCAAATTATCCAATAAAAAAAATTAATACTGAAATGACTTGACTGTAATTTAGTATTTGTGGTTCAAAATAATTTCTCTAAAAACAGAACCTGAGGGATGGAAAATTAGTCAACAGGGATGTTTGCTAAAGATGGGAGTGTAATATCACTATAAGCTTGTGTTGGCTTTTTTCATTTTTTTTTTAAAGGCCTTGGAGACAAGTTTCCAAACTTTTGTTGCACTTTTACAGAATTTCTACTTATGCAAGGTATATGGCATTGTTGAAATAAAACAACTTGCTGGTTGTTGCTTGGTTGGCATATATGAATTACTCATTCATTGTTACCTTCAACAATTCTGTTTGCCTGTTGTCCTGCAAGTGATGGGACATTATATCCTTTATAAAAGATGTGGTTGGCTTCTCATATGGTACCTGTGCTCTCTGAAATAAAAATGAGGGCAAGCCTGAAGTAAGGCTCTTGAAAGGTTATAAATGACGTAGGATTGTATAGGATAGTGCATGCCCTGGTAGAAGTTGAACTATGTGGACTTGGTAGGGGGATTCGACCTTATTTCCTTTATTTATTGAAAAAAACTTCTGATCAGTATTGGACTGCTTTTACATAAGTTGTTCATGAAGTGCTTGATGGTGAATTTTGAAGGTGTGGAATAGATTTTCAAGGAAAGAAAAGAGTATCCTTTTGGTGATCATAGTAGGTAATTGAGTTTGATAGACTGCATTCTGTTCTTGAATTTTTTTGCAAACTTTCTTGTACCTCTTCCCTCCCTGTGCTGTTTCTCCCACCCCTAGAGAAGTAATTCATTTCAGGAGCTAAACCAATCTCATTTTACTATTTGAAGCCTATACCTTCTGACTATTTCAGTTGCAATAGCATTTTCATACAGTTACATTTATATCTCACTTGCAGAACATTAAAAATACAGGATGAGCAAACAGGAACACTTAGCTCACTTATTCTTTGACTGCATTCTCCTAGTTTATGTTTGCATTTCACATTCTTTTCGTTTTTTTTTTGTTGTCAATGCTTAGGACAACAGACTGGATGCATATGATGCCATGAGTGCACAAGATGGTTTGCATAGTTCATTGGCAAGTCAATAAGTATTTATGAGGGTAAGTCAGAAAGGAAGGTTTTGATTTCTTCGGAGGGCAGGTAATTACACCGAAGACAATATACATGAAATGCCCCCACATATGCTTATTATTTACCCACAAGGTCGCCAGACTTGTTGAGACATTTGTCATAACAGTTGATCAGCTTATTGAAGCCCTGCTGATAGATGGAAGGGAACCTTACTTTCTGACTTACCCTCGTATTTTGACTGTTAAAATACATCTCTTAAGTCATCTTCTCTTTACCTTTTCTGTACTCTGTTCTTCCTTTCACTCCTCATATTCTTTCCCTCATGTCTATAATGGTGTAAATGGTGACCATGACTTGCATACAGTAGAAATGCTTTCTTTTGATAGAAGGCCTCTCAAGGCAAACATTGTGACTGGATACTTTTCTCTCTTGAAAATCAGTCAGTGTAGCACCAGCACCTATACTTTTGCCTGACCCCTTCCTGAATCTTTCTTCCCTGTTCATATTTAGCTCTATGCATCATGGGATTATTTTTAAAGTTTTATTTTAGTGGTTTCTGATTTCACATGGCCTAAATGTTGCCAAGGAATGCCTGAATTTTCCCCCAGATTTTTGCATGCTTGCTTCCCCTTTGAACCAAGCATGTGTTTCTGAACACCTCTGTGACTAAGGGAAAAAATAAGAAGGAAACATTCCACATATGTTCAGAATTAAACCTGGTTTCTGTGTTTTCAAACACACCACTGAAACATCGTCCTGTTACCAACCAACACATAAGAAAAAACTTGATAGTTGCCATGTGTCTATAAGACAATCACAACGGCACACTATTTTTTCTTACCTTCAGAATCACACTTTCTGCTTCGCAAAATTTTTGAAAATTTATTTTTTTCATTTCCTTTGCTTTGGCAATGCAACCTCCCTCAACAACAGCCGAAGCAACAATGAAGTGTAGCTCATAGTCAGCGAGCAGCCTGGACAGCACCAGTGATGCTACAATGCACTGGAGGGGTAGCAGTGCCATTCACTGCACTGCAGACACTCAAAACTGATATATTTACAAAACACCTCTATGACACATAGGGTTAACAAATAATGTACCTCTGGATCTCTTGGTTTTTTTTTTTTTGGTCCAGTTAAGCATCATGATCAGCAAATATTTTCTTAGTGATTCCATTTCAAAGCTGCAGGAAGTTGAACTTCCTTCTGGAAATTTTTGCATTTTGTTGGTTTAAAGCAAAAGCAATAAGCTATGAGGTGCAGGAGGCTTTTACGCACATGAGTGTGTCCCTGATACTGAATTCACCCAACCCTCCCTCCAATCTGAACCCTATCTGCCCATGACCTCCTCTAACCCAAAGTAACCTCTAACTGCCCTGTAATTCCTAGGAATACCCTATTCAGCCTAAGTGTTGACTCAGTGGATATTCTACTTTGGTTCAGACTACATTCTTTGGGTATGGCACCTGGGTTCAGAACAGTTCAGCCACTGGGTTTCTTTTAACATTTCATATTCAGAGAGTGCCACATGGTGAGGGGTCTCACTTCCCTTACACTATGGGGCTTTTACCTGTAAATGCCTAGATTTGTTTTGAACATTTGTCCCTGAGTCAAGCTTGCTACCAGCTGAGTCACTCACTTGTTCACTTCTTGCTTTTTCTTCCTGAATTAGTTTTTGTTCTCCTGGTGGAGCCTCTGAGCATTGATGACAAGATCAATTCTGTCAAACTGCTCAAAATTGGATGTCTGACTACATAATGCTCAGTGTTCAATTTGACTTAAAAAAAAAAAAAAGGATTGCAAGGAAAGGGAGAGAGGTTTGAAGAAATTAACCCTTTGCAGTTCATTTTATTTGTAAGGCTAAGGAGATTGTCAGACTGTGTCCAACAGGGTTATTACAAGGTATTTCTTAGCTTCATCTGCGATTACTGGAATTATGGGCCCATCACTGTGAGTCTTGGGTTCTACCTCAATTCTCATGTTAAAATCTTTAAGATTGTAAGTGTCACTTGAGCAGAGGAAAGGAAACAACTCTCATACAGAAGCCATGGATCATGTCCCTGTTCCTGGAATTGAATTTTTTTTTTTCTTAATTAAAATAAATATAGAAAAGTGAAGAGCAGGGGGTAAGTTTTCATTTTGGTATGAATTTTAGGGCTTTTGAGGTGCATCAGAGCATTTATTCTCATCTCACTCATTGGAAATTGCATTGAAATATCTGTAATCTATATCAAACACACAATCTAAAAGTTAGCAAGAAATAAACTGATGAGACTTTCTTCTCTAAAGTTGCCTCAAATCTGGAAACATCAGGATTTCACCTATCTCTAAAATAAGAAAAAACTACTTCAAGGATTGAAATTACTCTCTTCACAGTTGAGTTTACAGGTGACTGCTGTTTCTACATCTTAACTGTCAGTATCATACTCACCATTTTGAGGAGTGGAAGAACATGTCAGATAACAGTGAAGAAGCACTTTCTGAGGATGAAGTAGAAGTCACATCTGGAAAGAAGGATGGAACCTTGTTCAAGCGACTACAAGCTCACATGGCCTTTGTCGGCCAGCTCCTCAAGTTTGCCCCTGTACAGTATCAGCCTGAAATGGAGCCAGGTTCGAGCTCAGATGAGGAGGCTGGTGCTGGGGAATCTCGGTCACGTCGCTTTCAGAGTGAGTTACCTCAACAATGGACAATTATTACATATAGTCTTGGATTTGATGGCATATTCTAATGATCATGGGTATCTTATTCCAATAGGACGAAGGAAGCGTCAGCATTCCATCAATGATGAACCACCTGCAAAAGCTCCAAAATTTGGTGAGGACAAGTTTTTTTTTGTTTTATGATTGTTTAATTTCATATTTTGCTTTTTCATGCATATTTTGAAATTGCCTTCAAAATTATGCTTTCGCAGTGTCATCAGTGAACCGAGCAAACACATATGAGGAGCTTAAAGCCAGACTCCAAGCCAAGCTTGAAGCTCTCAGAGGTTTGATGTGTTTCTTGAATTTGTTCTCATTTCATTATGTTCATAATTGCATTTGTTTTATTTGGTATCCATATATCTATTTATCTAACAGGAAAGTCAACAGAAAGTAGTGCAAAGAAAAAGTTGCAGAAGAAGATTTCCTTATTAGAAAAAAAGAGACTGAAAGAGGAAAAAAGGAAGAAGCAGCAGATCAAGGTCAATTCAAAACCAGGTGCTGCCTCAGGGGGATCCTCATCTCCTATTGCTGTGATAGCCCATCAGAAGCCAATTGTAAATCATGAGGGAAAGGTTGTCTTCAGCAAGTTTGATTTCCAGGTGACTTCCTCAAAGCCATGGAAAGGAGAAGACCACAAAAGGGATTATAAGAAGTTTTTGGATAAAATAGAGAAGGGCAAGGAAAAGATGGAGAGGTTGAAGGAAGAGGGTAAGGAAGAGAAGGTGAAAAAAATTCAGGAAAAGAAAATTTGGGAAACAACCCTGCAAAAGGCAGAAGGAGGGAAGGTCCGTGATGATGAAATGAAATTGAAGAAGGCATTGAAAAAGAAGGAGAAGAAGAAACAACAAAGTGAGCGCAAATGGCAGGAACGACTCAACACAGTTCAAACCCAGAAAGAGGCTCGCCAGAGAAAAAGGCAGACCAACCTACAAAAGAAAAGGGAAGAGAGGGTTCAGAAGAGGATTGGAAAATCCAAGAAGAAAGGACGTGTTGTATTTTGATATGTTGATATCCCATCGGCCTCTTTTGCTGCAATAAAATGGGTCTTGTTCACTTTAATTTCCTCTCTCTCATGTAACCCTCTGTATATCTTGCAGCTGACCATCCTATTCTTAAAGGCAGTAGCATATTGTGAACCCAGATAATGTTTGCATCTTTGGGAAGTTTCATACTGGAACGAAAATGGAACAGAAGAGAGCACCAAATATTAAAGACATAATAGAGGTTCCCTACCCTTTCCATTTTCATGAGAATTGAGCAGAGTCACATATGCTGATGGAATATGGGTCTGTCCATGGTGTCAGACATGACATCTGGAATAATATTTTCAGCATACAAAAAGGAATTTAACTATATTATGGATGAAAAATCGTCATATAAAGGCTGCAACAATTTGCTTTGGGTAGTGACTGAAAATTCCATAATAAAAAGTCTTGCACTCTCTCCTTTATTAGAGGTGTACAAACTATGTGCAAAGAAAAGTGTCAGACGTGACATTTCCTGAAATATCAAGTTAAAGTCACTTGTTCTAATGTTCACATATCTGTCATCAAGTGGACCCTAATAATTTATTTTCATGTTCAATCTATAGATTGAATGAAAGCCTGGAATTGGTATAAGTCATCCCAAGATTAAGACACTTGAAACAGAAAGTAAGCCTATTTTCTGATGATTGTTGGATGTGACAGGAGAGTGTCAGATGCGACTTGTTCTGAAAATGTATTTTAAAACAAGAAGTCTGTGCATATCTTTTCATTTTATTTTAAAGATATCATTCAAACCTGAACAATTGACAGATCTACTCTTCACAACTGAGCTGATTTGAAATTATCCATATGCATGGAAAACCCATGCTGGCATCTGTTCCAATAGTCCAATTCAGTCCATGAAACCCAAATCGATTTCATGACACATTGGTATGAGCTTGTACAGTAAATCTGCAAGGAATTATGAAGCAAATTTAGTTGGGGGGAGATGGTCTGGAGTCTGGACACCTCTCAAAATGGAGCAAAATTTCATGAAACAGTCAAGGAGCATGGGAGGTGGGCTGAAAAGTTCCTGGACATTCACACACAGCTGAAGACTTTGACTCCACTTCCTCCTATTGAACATAGTCACTCTTAACCCATACATTGATCCGCCACATTGGTGATTCCTAGCTGAGGTCATGTGTTGTCCAGGTGGTGATACTGGTGATGAGTAGGATTGCCCTGCTGCAGCTAAATGGAGCCACCCCTTTCTTAATTTGGCTAACTGAGCTTGTTCTTCAATAGTTGGTAATTATTACAATGCATTACTGAAGATTCAGGTATTCATCTCTTGATATGGATTGAGGATCACCATTGCATAACTGCTTGAATAAGCCAGTGGGTGAAAATTACTCCTGAAGAACAGTTTCTCTGCTAGAATCGTAATCTGGTGGAGCTATGAAAGAAGTGTTTTGGTTCAGAGTAATAATGTTGAAGAGGTATAAGTTGAGTAAAGTTCATCGTTTGTGTGACAGACAGAAAAGCCAGAACCTTCCAGAACCAAAGCCTTCCCTTGTCAATGAGAAATTACCGCACTTAACCTTCCCAGATTAACCCTCCCTTGCTGTCTGGGGTCTTTTTCAACCCCATGGGATGAAAAATCATATCACGATTTATGTATTGTATAAGCAAAATAAATATTGGATTTTTCGTGGTTCTCTGGGGTTTTTCCCCATTTGTATTGCCCATATATGATAATCACCTTATCTGACTCTGGCTGTTGCCATGAATCTTGTCAAACATAGTCAGAAACAAAATGGGGTCAAGAGACCCCAGACAGCCTTCACGTTATTTTCAAGCTGACAGCAAGGGAGAGTCAAGAGATGAGGAGACACAGGAAGACCCTCGCACTTGATAGTCCATGGGAAAATACTTGCAACAAATAGACCTTTTGGGTATCTTAGCAAGAAACAACTGCTGACAGAAAAAATACAAAACTATATATATTTTATTTCTCATCATGTGCTTGCTCACAGCTGAAAAAAAAGACAAAAACACAGTCCAGGCTATGATGAACAATGAGGATGGCTAGTCAAGTATTTATGGATAGCCCTTGCCCGTGCAGCAGAAATCCCTGTCTTCCTCATCAACTCTTCCTCCTTGCTAAAAAAAAAAATAAATAATGGCCTAAATTGTTTTTCATTTTCATGAAGAAAAATGACATTCTCATGAATTATGCCTAATTCAAATAGAGATATATAAATTTTTAAGTCTGTCTTCAGCTTACCAATTGATGAAATGTGAAATAGATGAAAATTTGTCGAGGAAAGTGAGGGCAGTTGGATATGAGACACGAGGTAGACTCAAATACCATGCAAGCCACTGTTTCTGTTGAGGTGTGAGCTCAAGAGAGTATTTCAACCCATGCCCACTTTTTCTCTCCCATTCACATATGGCATGTAACAGCTCACTGGTTTCCTCTGTAATCCAGAAGGATTCCAGTCATGCTTATATGAAATTTGGTAATTCTGACAATAAAAAAAACCTTTTACCAATTGGCTAACCTTGTGACTCTGAATGAAGAACTCTGATGTGAGTTTGTGTGAGTGCAGCAAGGGTCATATCTACATACTTACTTCGAAGTCTCCCAGCAGGCTTGTCACCAAACTTCCCCTTGTCCTGTTCCACAATCAATATGGGCCGATCAAACAGGAAGCAGAGATCCCACAGTTGTGAAACAATCCGCTGCTTCTGTGATCCATTACAGAAGTCTGGAATATAACAAGCATCACAGAGTTCACAAATGCACGAGCCAGAAGAGCACATGGACAGTGATTAGAATTAGGAATATAGCATTACATTTTACATCTAGCTTCACCCAAGGTTACTTCTCTTGTTTCAATGATTATTGACCAAAACATGCCAACTGACCTGACCAGAGTTTCCTGATAGCACCAGCACGGGTACTGAGGGCATAGTCCACACCCGTCATTGATACCACACTTGGCACAGCATGGAATTTAACCCTCAATAAGGAAACCACCTTAGGAGCTGCATTCATAGCTCTAGTCTCCACCAGGACCTTCAGGGTTTCTTGACTTGAGGGAATAACCTATAAAGAATTGCAGATGCAAGCAAGGATGAGATGAACACAAGAATCATAATAAATCCTGTACTATCAATAGAAGAGTAAGATAAATGTAGATCCCTCACCAATGGAGTGACTTGGGTGAGCACAGAATTCACATTCTTTTCGTAGGCTTGCCAGTCAACTAATGATGTATCTGCTAAGTCCATGTTACTTGAAGTACCAAGGGTCTCACTCTTTTGTTCATAAGATTCCACTCCATGATGAAACTGATTGACTGGGGGTCCCAGGTGCTTTTCATTAGCCTCCCTGAATCTCTGACCAGGCAATTTCTCTTTGACTGCATCATTCCCAGCAGAACATGTGCTCTTCCTCAGAGTTTCAATGTGAATGCTTTCAATATTCCTTGCATTTTCTCCACATTGATCTTCATCAGGCATTGCATTGTCTTTGCTGCTTTCTTTGTGGGGACACAAAAGTCGTCCTTTCTTCCTATCTGGTGATTTCACAGGTGATTCCAATGAACTGTCCAATGGAATTGCGACTCGTCTCCTCACTTTCCTCTTTCTCTTTTTACTTTTCAAACCTTCTTCAGCTATGGCAAGGGTATCATTGCCTTCATCAGTCAGGTATTCCACTTCATCATTCCCCACAATGAAGCTATCCTGCAATTCAAGTGAAAGCCAATCCTTACTTCATTATCATTTAAAAAGAGTTCATAAAAAAAGAAGCAAACTATTTGAAACCTCTTCATCAGTAAATGAAGCCACTTCATCACATGACCAGGGAGAATCCATGACTTTGGGTTTATTTTTTCCATAATGATGCAGCTTGAACTTTCCTACTCCTCCAACTGGACTTCGAACAGACTTCAAGTAGACTGCCTGCATGCTATACAAAGGAGATGAAGCAAGAAGTTTGTTGGCTCAGCCTGGAATATCATGCAAAAAGGTTCCAAACTCACTCTATCATTGAGTCTTGGGAAAGCTGTGTGTTGTTATTGATAAGGGTATCATCTTCTTCATCATATGAACTGCCTCCACTCTCATCTGATGATATGCAGATTGATCCATCAAAAGAAACTTCAGCTTCCACTTCAATGAAGCCTCTTCCACCTTTCTCTCTATCCTTCCTCTGTGTTCAAGGTGCAAGCTACATCAGTACCAACTGAGACAAGAAATCCTGGAATCTAATAAGACAGAAAGAAGGTCTTATAATGTGGAGTGTTCTCACCTTTCTTTGAGCAATTCGAGATTTTTTTTTTGGCTTTTGCTGGTGTTGTCCAGATTGATGCACCAGGGAGTTTCTATGCACCTTTTCACTACCTGGCTTGACATCACTCCATAACCAATCATCAGAATCCAATTCATTTGGCTCTTCTTCTACATCATTTGCTCCAGGCTCAGACAGGTGAGAATTTTCACGACTAGATTCAAGCTGGAGCCGCTGGACCCTGCAAGATTTCTTGCGTTGCACAGGGCTGTCATCATCTGATTCCTCCAGTGCCAGGCAACGCTTCACTGAGAGCTTGCACAACCTCTCATCCTCAACCTTAGAGATCGGGGAACATTTGAAGGGTTCTATGATGGCCACTTTTGCACCTTGATTCAGAGGAGCACCAACATCATGTCCTACATTCTGCTGCTGTAATTTATCTTTGAGCTCTTGTTCTTCCTCTTCATCTGAGCTGGTCTCCAAGAAGCCAGCCACAAGATTGAATCTAGCATCAGGGTCTCGAACAATACAAGCATTAGATGATATTGTAGATCCTATTCCATTGGAAGACTTATTCACAATTTTGATCATCTGTGTGACTGATAGCATGGATTCAGGTTTGGGGGGACTGACACATAGGAGATCTTCACAAAAAGAATCTTCCAATACCAAACTGAAGTTTGTATCATTACCTTCCATCTGGTCAACTTTTGGAGAGCTCTCCACTGGTCTTTTTGATCTACTGTGAACTTCACTAACTGCAACTTGACAAGCATTTGTCACTGATGCCTCTGAGATATCTGACTTTTCAATGACAAGCACAGGACTCTCATTTTGTGGGACTGTATCACTTGAAATATCACAGATAAGATCTGTGTTGCCTAAGAGTGAGTCAGATTCTAGGCAAAATCTTGAGAGATTTTTGGATGCATTTTGGATTATACCCAAGGCACTTGAAGTCTTATCTAAGACCATTTGAGTCACATGCAAGACTTTGGGAGTAGAACACACAATGCCCTTCCTGGATGACCTGAACTTGGGTGAGGGTGATGCCATTGATGAAGTTGACTTCACAGGTGGTGAAAACACATCATCCACACAATATTTGGCATCTCTGCCAACAGGGGAGGAGATCTGACTCTCACAGCTGAGAATTGAGTCAATTATTGCAGGTGGCAACAAATCTCTTCCATCCATTGTGTTTGGATCTACCAAGGGAGGAGGGGATTTGATGAGCACTTTGAACTGAGACACATGGTCAATGAATGCATGAATAGCACTTGAGAGATCATTGACTTGATGCTCTTTCCCAGAAATCTTCACTTCTTGGAATGTACAAACTTGAGTGGGAAGGGAGGGTACAATGAAGACATCTCTATGCACATCTCCTTCAAAATCTCCTACATCATCAAGCACTGCTTCCAAAGAAGGCTTCCCAAGCTTCAAAATGGCTGAATCTTGTTTCACAGAGCTGCTCTGCATATTAGCTTGTCTTGGTTGCTTCTCAGTTTCCACTTGCACCTCCTTCCCTGATATGAGATACAAATGGTCAGGTTTTACTAATCACCAATAAATTTGTCACACCCAGTGAATTCCATCATTGAGTTTAAGATTCTATTACCTGGATCTGTCCAAACATCATCCATATCAAGGTATGGGAGCATTTCAAACATGTAGGTTTCACTGCCAGCTGTGGAGAGCACATCCATGAAGGTGAGGGTCTCAGTCAAGATCTTACTGGTTGTTGAAGGGCCAGTGAGAAAACGTTTCTGCAATGTAGTTTGCCAGGGCAAGTACTTGTCCACTCGTAACTCCCTTTTTGCTGAGGAGTAAGAGATGAAATCCATCATGAATCAAGGACTGCTTTTCTAGTTAGACCTTAAACCTAGAGAGGAGTACACACAAGGTGACTTCTTCTTGGCTTCAGAGGTTCCTGTTGCCCTGCAGATATATGTATTTGAAATACTTCGGTCAAGTGACAGGTATTCTTTCAGTGGAATCTTGAAGTTTCTTGACCAGTGGTCCAGGTCCTCCTCATTAAGATAAGCCTGCAGTTGGCTAATCATTCGCCTTGAATTGGCCACTGCCATCATTGTAGCTATATTTCTCGAATTCCTAGGAGACATCTTTTGCTTCCCTGCCTTGCCTTGGAATTCATATTCTGGGACTGTCATCTCCATCCTATGACAACTGGGGTTGAGGCCTATAAATAGGAACATAGCCATATCTCACGACATAATGCATTTTTTTTCATGGGTAGAGCACCTGATGTCGTGTGAACTCACCTTGAGGAACCATTCGGGGATTGCTTGAATAGAGATAACTCTGCAATTTCTGTCCACCGTGAACAATGGCCTTGTTGATGCTCTTCTTGTTGCACATGCCTTGGTTGTACACCTGAGAATTATAAAAAGTAATTACTTCATACTAGTGTACTACATTGCAGATACTGTCATATTGGAAGCAGAATGACATAGGAGTTTCTCCCTTCATATTCTTTCTCCCAGGCCAAGTCCATCTTGATGTTAAAGATCTTTGCTAGCTCTGTTGACATGAGACATGGAATGCATACCTAAACTCAGTATTTTTTTGTATTACTTTGTTATGTCTAATAACAAAGATAATAGATATGTCTATCTGTTGAAAATAATAGATATGTCTCTCTGTTGCTCAGAGCAAAGGTACATTTTAAAATTAACTTGCACTCAGTTGGCTGAGGCTCTCTAAGAGGCAAATGAAAAACACATTTTTGGCTAACACAGGAACTATGGAACATGCACTGCAGGTGTGCTGCAGTTTGCAAAAAGCTATCTATATCAATCCTTGCTTCTGACTGTTCATTAAGATGGTGATCATCATCTGGTTTCAAACTGAATAAGTCAGATAGCTGGGTGGAGGATGAAACCATCTGAATTCAACAAAACTCATTTGGGTCAAATGGCAAAATTTAAAAATGTAAATTGAGTGCATGGGGAAGGACACAATTAGCCCCTCTCAAATAATAAAGATATTGAGTCAATTGAATATATGTCTGAACTAGGTGAAAAACACTGTAGGAGGGCTCTTTATGCTAACACAAGTTCCAATTTGGCGTACTACAAAGAGTTCCAAGAGGAAAACAATCCACATGGCAGGCTGTTATTGCTTGATTTCAACATGGACTCAGCCCGGAACAGCACAGTACCTGCTCTTCCTTGCCCTTGGAAACAAGCATGATAATTCGACCCTTCCTCTTCCGCCCTGTACGGCCCATGCGCTGAACAAGGCGAATCGGGGATTTGTGAGCATCATAGCATATGATGAGATCAACCTCTTTAATATCCAATCCTTCTTCTCCAACACATGTAGACACAAGAGTGTTATACCCTCCTTCACAGAACTTCTTCACTACCTGTGGAAATAGGCAGTCAGTATGTTTCCCATTCCATTAAAAGCAAGAATTTATAGTTCGCAGAATTCTCTGACAAGGAATAGCAATAAGCCATTCCATTCATTTAATAGTTCTCACTCTCTGAATAGGAAAGAAATTATGAACAAACCATCATCTGTTCTTTCTGAGAGAAACCTTTGGGGCCCTTTCCACCTGCTCCACCAGAATGGCCAACAAAACTCATTGCCTTCACTAGGGGACGGTAATGGCTGAGCATCTCTGTGATCTCATGCACACTGTCCCGATACTGAAAAGAATAATACAGAGTGAAATAAAAAACTGTGCCAAATCATTTTTGCTAATAATGAGAGTACTTTTCATCAGATAGGCTTAGATCCAATTTTTTAAATACTGCAAGAGAAAAGAGTAAAGAAGCTAATTACCACATTTTAAGAAAATTGATGTATTGCATCATGTTCTATGCCAGTTCAAACTTGATAGGTAAAAAAGTGTGCCATACAAGCCCATTGATGTGTTCGTCTCAGCCAATGAATCAAAGGAAAGTTTGTGCATACCTTATCGAAGAGGCAGAAGTGGTCTTGCTCTCCATTTGTCACCTATTTTAATAACGAAATTGTTGGCCATTTCAAAGGAAATTCAAACCTGGTATTAGCCAAACATTTCATTATCAAATTAGACAACAAAGGGAAAACACTACACCCTCTCTCTGCTCCTTTGGCTGTTTGGAAGGGCACACACAGACTTCTGTCAATTTCTCTGGCTGAAGCAAACGTGCCAGTGGGCTTGTATGGCACAGTTTTTTAACAATCACGTTTGAACTGGCAGAGAACATGATACAATGCCTCAATATTTTTTAAATTAGGTAATTACCTTCTCTACTCTATTCACATGGAGTATTTTAAAAATTGCATTGATCTGATGAAAAGTATTGCCAATATTAAGGAAAATGATATGGTACAGTTTTTTTTGAAACACCATGTACTTTCTCAATGTTATGGATATACCTCATCCTACCAGTCAATATCTTCTGTAGCTTTTGTTGTGAGACTGACCTGAGAGAAGATCATGACACGAGTGGTTTGTCCTTTTGCTTCAGAGGCTTGGAAGTGCTCCAATATAATATCTCTCAATTTAGTCATTTTTGGGTGGCCCATCATGTAAGCTCCTTTTGTGGCCTCTAGCTGACTTGAAGAACCCTGCAAATGAGAAATGTGCATCTTATCATGTAGCAAACAGGTTCCTATGTAAGAAATAATGTGATATTCCTTCTAGTGATTGAATTGAACAAAAAAGGGAAATAGGCCACTGTAAGCATTGTATGATGCAGCATGAAAAGGTGGCCATACCTGAGAAAAGACTCCTGGTCTAATGACATTCCTGTCACTACTAAATTTTCCTTCCAGGTCCTCCATCATCTTAAGAAAACTAGGATTTCTCAGCAGCTCTGTTCTTGTTCGTCCTTGCCCTTTCTCACCATCCAGTACACCTATGGTGAAAATGAAAAATGTTCCAACTTTCTAGCCAAAGATCAAAGTTTGAGTTGAATAGGAAAAATATGTAACCAAGTGGCTACCTGGTGTAATGGTTAAAGATTTTGGGTGGAGGAAACCCTCTATGACTAAGAAATGAGACATACCTTTCAGGAAGTGATAGAATGGCCTTAGGCCATGCAAGAGGAGTAGCTCAGATGCATGGCACAATGTCATGCAGATGGCAAAGTCTCCCTCAATGATTCCAAATTGATTTCTCGGCATCTGTGGTGGAGGAGCTTGCCTAAATGCTTCTCGTGCTTTCAATAACTGAAAACACAAACAGAACAGGACATGTAACTATGACATGCCAGATCTTAAACTTGGTAACAGTACTCAAAATTACTCCTTGGCCAACCTGGAATTTTGTGAGGTTGGTAGGATCTCGAGTGAAGACAAGGCTCTGTTTTATGAGCCTCTGGGCATACTGTCTTAAAACCTATAAGAAAAACAAAGCTCACTCAGTACACTGGGCAGCATCTTTTTGTGTTCAACTGTCTATGAGTGCTTCTCCCTATGTATTTTTAGTAGAGTTTTTGCAAGGAAGCAGCAATTGTAGATATTTCTTTCTAGGTCAACAACAGACTACGAGTAAGTACAACTTGCTTCAGGGAACTTTACTTATGTCCCACATGGTTTGAAACTCATGGAACCCTACTTAAAATAAAGGAGGGGGGGGGTCTATATATACATAACTTAATTCTATGTTTTTATTATTCAAGACTCATTCATGAAAAGAAAGTTGAAAGGATATATGATGGTGCAAGACCTTGAGTAAAGACTCATGAAGATAGAGAGGAAGGTGATAATGTTCCAGAATTTTAATTTGAAAGTTTATTCAGAATTTTGATTGACAGAACTTGTCTTCTATTTCCAAGCTATCTGGAAGCACAGAATGAACCATATCTTCCTCCTGCAGATATGGATGAATCTCCTAAGACTTTAAGTGTGCAGTTTCCTCTGTTTCTAAATGGCCCTATGTAGTCATTCTATCCAATCCCATTTGTCAGGGTTATTTCATTTGGGATTGCACAAGGAAACAGTGTCAAGCCAGCCAGAAGTAATTCCTCAAACACGTTTATAATGTTTCAAATCTAAGAGGATAAGCACTCAATAAGAAACTGAACACAACCAAATATGAAAATAGATTATCAAAACACTACAAAGGTATTTTGGCCAATACAGGGATGGAGGAAAAATCAACTCACTTGATGGAATGTATCCCTAATAAGGGTGAGATCTTCCCCCAAGGGGACAACCACCTTCTCAACAATTCTCTCATGGGAATAGGGCTGGATATCTGGAGAATCTTCACTTCGCAATTCCACGTGGGAGATGTGAATATTCACCAGGATCTTAAAAGAATACCTTGTAAGTCAAACATGATGCTGCAAATTCAGGTGGGAGTAAAATTTCATGTATTTTCATAATGTTCTTCAGTGAAGATAAAGAGCTCATGGACTAGTGAGCTGCTTTGAACTAGCAGATATAGGAAGAGGAAAAAAAAATTAAACACACCTGATGAACTGCTTTCATGTCACTTCCAGGAGTTGCACTGAGGGCCAAAATTCGATACTGGTTGGTATAATTTGATAATTCCCTAACAACCTGCAGCATACAATGCAACATATTCACATAAGTACTGGTAAACAAACTGAGAGATCATTATTTGAAACAGACTGCTGCATCACCTGACAATATGCGTGATTTCCCAGGGCCTTGTGTGCCTCATCAATCACAAGACACTTAACTCGTTCTGCAGGGCACATCCCTCGAGTTAAGTCATTCAACATCACTTGAGGAGTCAAGAAGAACACTCGCTTTGTCTTCCAGGCAGTTCCTCTAGTTTCCGGAGACATGGTTCCTGATGAACATATCCAAAGTGAGAGCGAATGTCAGATTTTGCACACAAGGAATGCTAGCCGGTACATATAATCATTTTTGCATTAGTGAGTTTTTTTTAGTGGCTTCATGGAGAACGAAAGAAAGATTACTATATTATTTACGCCCTTAACCCTTTCACTGTTCTGCAAAAAAAAATATTAACCCCCCCGTGTTACAAAAATTAGGACTGTTTACCTGAAAACAATGGTTTATGTTTAAATTGGTATATCAGGGAAGCTATTGAAGATCGCGGTCGCGAGCATATATAGAGGTAAAATAACCTAGAAACAGTGAATGGCCAGAGCCTGAGTACATACTCGGGGAAACAGCGAAAGGGTTGATAATAATATCTCCAGGAAGTATATTGGTTGTTATCACCTGTCATTTCGCAAGTGTGCTGCTGTGGAATTCCCATGATGTTGTAGCACGCTTGGATCTGTTGAGCAACAAGAGGCTTGGTGGGAGCCATGAAGACTATCATACCCTGAGGATACCAGCGGTAGAAATTGTACATCACCACTGCCGCTATAAAGGTCTTTCCCAGACCTGCAGAAAATGAAGAAAATTGCCCGGAAATTATGAAATCGGATTTGGGTCGTGCGGAATGGCATCGGAGTCGAATTCCCATTGCATGAGTTCACCACGGGGTCAAAAATTTGGAGTTAGGACATATCCTTTAAAAGTGGATAAGATGGATACACTTCAGTAACAGTTGTCATCTATAGGGAGATCATTACGAAAGTCAACGCAAGACCTGCAAATGAAAATGCTTTCTCTCCTGAAAATGCTTCGCTTTTCTGGTTGAAACCAATCTCGACCGGAAATGAACTATTTTCACATCACTGCTTCCTCAAGCGGAAACCCAATCACCGCGCCCCTTCCCCCTTTCATCAGAGCAAGGTTCTCATAATTTTTCCAAGCAATCGAGTAGATCTGGGACATGACATCGTGTGGTTCACAACTAGAGGAGCGGACTTCCCTGCTATTCCCAACGTGGGGAATCATCCACGGTTGGCCGAAGGTCGGTCATCCGTTAAGCAAAGCATCCTCTTGATTCTCTATAGGGATAATTCAGTATTTGGCGATTGACTTAGAACAGGCATGACATCGCGATGCACGGCTGGCCAATATTCGTTTTTGAGGTCAACCGTACTGACATCGCATTCATCTTGTCAGCATTTTGATGAGAAAACATTCAAAAGTAATCAACGGATAATCCTTATTCGTATTTTTTAAACGAATGACCTTGTGAAGCACAAGTCCTTGACGCCGGCCCATGGTTCATGAATTTCCACCCAGGAGGTGATTTCGATTAGGCTACTGCTCTCCCAAGCATTCCTCCGCCATCCTTTGCGCCCACCTTGTTAACTCCCACACGACTACGCATGCAGATTTTTCCCATCCCAAAATGGAACAGAACCAAACGCAAAAACGAGTGGGGGTTTTCGGGAGGGGCGAGAACCGATTCCCATTCTCTATGTTCCATCCGTTATGGTACTAGTGTTTTTCACTTTGAGTTCGACAATATTTCCCTTGACTTGGACACACGTCCATGGGACGTTCCTCATGCATGAGTGTCGATGTCAAGTGAAAAACACTGTACCAGGCATAAGCCTAGAGAGGATGAAAAAAGTGTGTATTTGTAGAAAGTGTGTGCCTGTTATGCATTTCATGGGTCTTTTCCTTATTTTCTTCGAAAGTGGTGGGGGGGAGGGGGGGGCTCGTGCCCCCCGACCCCCGCGTCGCTGCCCGGAAATTTTGGATCACGAGGAGGTTCGATGGACGACAGAGAAAAGGGAAATACGGGAGGTACCCTGGAAAAAGATTGCAAAACTTTCTTCCACTTGCCACTTTCACTGGCCTGATTGTACCCCTCGATTATGCGAGATCTCTGAGGCGTAGGCCCATTCAGTCACATCAAAACTCCCCGCCCTTTCCCCGACATAGCGGAGTTTCGTCTCAAAAACTCACCAGTAGGGAGGCAGACGAGTGTGTTTTGGAAGAGTGCCGCTTGTGTGATGGTGAATTGATACTCTCGGAGCGGATAGTTAGTGGGGTAGATCCAAGTCCTCCCTGCATAAGTGTCGAATCCAGGCAAGATTTCCTCTGGTTGTCCACAATCACTGTGGGCAGGTTGGGCACTTTTGCATATACCCGACGGGCCTGGTCGCGGCTCTGTTTCTTTTCCTCGTTTCTTCCTTGCTTCCGCTTCCTCGTGTTCCCTTCAGCAGAATTCACGGCCTGTCAAGCCCGCAAATAATCGAATTCCGGAATCGAGAAAATTCGTCCTACCTAAGACTCTTGTCAAGAACCATAGCGAGAAGGGCATCGTCATCATCAGGATCCCCAAAATCTGCCGATTCTCGGGATCGTTGCGATGATGATCTATTCTCGCCCCTTGCCCAAGCTTCAAAGAGCGTGGCTTGCTTCCCATTCTGCATTTCTGACGTTTTTCTCTCATCTATGAGCATGCATGTCACAACACCATGCCACCCTGCAAAAAAATTAAAAAGCCATCTTGCAAGAAGAGCAAAGGAAGCCGAATGCACACATCGGCGATAAGATAGACAAAATATATGACAAAAACTGGAATTACCTGGACTTGTCAGCAATAAAAATAATCTCCGACTATCAGATGAACAAGATTGGCAATAACTACGATTTTTCACACGGCATTGTTACTATTTTAAATGCTTTCCATTCCCAGTTTTTTCTCCAGTCCTCCTTCATGGTCCTTGGTACATGAATTGCACTGATGTAAATATGAACAGCGAAGCAGAAAGATCATAATCTAAATGGAAAATGGCAAAAATAAAGTGTCAGTCAGCCCTCATTCAATTACATCTAATATCTCTACAATCAAGCTCTATTTGTAGCTCAATTTTAGGCCAACAAAAATTGTTTCAACAGGAGTAAAAATAATAGTTCTAATTTTTTTTGTATGAAGTGAAACAAACTTTTGAAAGTTCTATGCTTCTTGGGCCGGGCCGGATTAAGAAGTTGCGAGGCCCGGGGCAAGTGAATTCCTGGGGTCCCCCCCCTCCTCCGCTACTTTACACAAATACAAAATTTTTTTTTAACTTAAGGGTTTCGGGGCCCCCTGGAAGAGTGGGGCCCGGGGCAACTGCCCCCTTTGCTCCCCCCTTAATCCGGCCCTGTTCTTGGTATTCGTACAAGCATAAATATATAACATTCCTCCATATATGTCCAAATGTATAGAGGAACATAAAAAGTGAAATCACAGTTTACAGTGAAGGATAACTTATGCCTAGACAATTGTAAGACTAAGTAATTCTTCATTTATGACTTTGGGATTTTTATCTTCATTGTAATCTTCAAGATCATATTGTTTAATGTAGGCATAGGTTCTTACATATACATTTTCCCTGTAAACTTATTTCAGTCAACCTGGGTCAATTTTCACAGGAAACAGTCTGATTTCAAGATTTGGATTAAGATTAGGCTGAGCTTTAAAACTGTTTAACCCATTGTTGTATGATGTCAACACATGTGTATCCATATCAGGAATTTTTTAAATATTGTACATATTAAACAGTATCCACTAAAACCATGAACGAGGACTTGATGTCCTTGTTCATGGGAATCACAAAATTCAGAGTTAAATCACAGGTGGTGTGCCATGCCTGTCTTTAGTTTGTGATCCAAGACATCATCAGATGCCATGCCCATGTGGATGTGATATGCGATGTAAAAAAGTGCTAAACATAGGAAATCCTTCATTGTGGAACATGTATGTAGGCTTTTAAGCACCACTCCAGCTCCAACAAGTGAATCTGGGCCAAAAAAAAAGGCATAAACTACTAACTAAATGGAATCAAGTGATTAAAAAAATTAACTTGATTCAACATATAGCTGAAATCAGTCAACCCTACATATTACTATATTAGGCCTAATATAGTAGTATGTGGGGTGGTGCAAAAGTCACACACCACAGGGGAAATTACAGTCAATGTCAGAATTGTTTGTTATTACCTTGAAAACACTTTGATTTGTTGTGCACATGTTTGAACACATCTTAACCCCACCCTCGCTTCTTTTGTTAATTTTGCAGCCATCACTTACCTGCAAATAAATAAACAGGAATTACAAGTAGTGCAACAGTGAAATCCCCTAAGATGTGTGACTTTTGCATCACCCTGTATCATACATATTATATACATCATTGGCAAAATTTTTTTAAATTCATAGCTTTTGTGCTGATTCCTGTTCCAGATATAGTTTACCACTTGAAGCCAGAAAAAAAAAAGAAGAAAACCATGCTGCTAATGATTCTCCTTTTACCCATCTGGGGAGTCCTTGCTACCAATTCACAAGAAACACCTACACAGACCATTACTCTCCCTGACATCAAGTCTGAGGTGCATTACAGGGAAGTTGGGGAAGGAGGAAACAATACAGCAGTCAGTGTTTTCCTGCTTCATGGAGCAGCATTCACTTCAGAGACTTGGGAAGAGATAGGCACTTTGAAACTTTTGGCTGACACTGGCTATAGGGCTATAGCTATTGACCTCCCTGGAGCTGCAAATTCAAAAACCAAAGGATACCTTCCAAACAACAAGAGAGGCAATTTCCTCAAATCTTTCATGGATGCTGTGGAGCTGGCACCTTCTGTGATTGTTGTGCCTTCAATGAGTGGATCCTTTGCCTTTCCTTTATTGAGAGATCATCCTGAATACTTCCAAGGCTTTGTTCCTATTGCACCTGTGTCAGCATCTCTGTCTGCTGCAGAGCTAGCAGAGCTTGATATACCTACACTCATCATTTATGGGACAAAAGACACATATGGAGCACGCATAAGTGGGAAGCTGCAAAACATACCTGGCAGCACCATTCACAAATTGGAAGGAGCAGGACATCCTGCATATCTTCAGCCAGGCACTCAGGAATTTCATGAATTGCTCCTTGGATTCCTTGATGACCTCACACATGCCTACTCATCTGCTCAGTGATAAAAGCCTACAGTCTGAAAAAAAAAGGCTTCCTTCTCTTGGTGTATCTCAATGTGAATGTAGCCTGTTATAGCAATGGATACAGTACAAGAAAGACAAAATATGGAAGAAAATTTGAATAAACTCTTCAATGAGGACCTCAGGTTACTTGATGCTGTCATTCATTCGTATACAAACAGATATAATGAGTATGAATGTAGAGATAAGGATTCTGTATGTGGGGGAGGGAAACCACTTAAGCATGGTTAATTTCTGAGTCCATTCCATGGTCTATTGATGGATTGTAATTTCTCGAGTGATACAGGGTTGGTTTTTAGCAATTCACAACACTGAATATGCCTTATATCTCAATATAGGGATGGTCAAAAATGGTGCTAAATTGATCAGTCTTCTTTTCTTTAGGTTCTGATAAATTATGCATGTATTTAAAGACTTATAACCCAAATTTGACCAAAATATTAAATTGGATTGAGTTTTAGGGGCAAATTGGAGACTGAAGATGAACTGTAACTAACCTGAATGAATTCACTTTTCGGCTAAATTTGCATCTACTTAACAGAAGCTATATAGCTTAATTGTAGCTTTAATTATCCGAAACAAAGCTGCATGCAAATGAGTAGTGCCCCCTCTGATCCCCACCAGCAAAGAATGGGATAAGCTGTAACAACCAGGCTGTTAACTAGGAATCAATTTCAAGTAGCACCAATTTCTGTTAGGAAATGTAACATCTGCTTCATGACTTGCTACTTCTTCTGAAGTACCACTACAGTATCGGGCTTGCCAACTAGCATGAACTTTATCTGACTTGGATTGGAAGCCTGCAGAAACAGAGAGGGGGGGGCATACTTCTCCTTCAATTAATAGAATAGCATAGATCTGGTAAATAATTATAGGCATAACTTTGGTCTGCAGTATGTGGAGCCAAGAGATGTACCTCTGTAGATTTCTTCATCAATCACAATACTTTATTGATTGAAGAAGTAACTTTATAATGACGTTAGGCTAAGCTTACCACATGGTGAAATTAGAATGGCTCAAGCTTTGTTTTCGAGATGAGTCGCCAAAACATGAACCAGGCACTGGTCTAATTGGCGTTATTGTCATCCAAAGAACAAAATATGAAGGTATAGCATCATTCAGGTCACTGTTTTTTCAACAGCTCAGAGAGATCCCCATTATAACTGCAGGTTTACTGAAGCTGGACTGGTAGCTAGGACATAGGCCTTAGGTTGCATTAAACTATTACTTCAATTAAACTGAATGAAACTGTTGTAGACCTGATTAGCTCATTCGTGTTCCTGTGCCGTGATATATCCCACGAAACAGAGAAATCTCCGCCACGATTCGACACAGAAGCTTCCCCTCACCTCCTTGGTTGTTTACTGGTATCCTACCAGCATATCTGCCGATTGATGGCCTGTGGTAGGGGTTCGATCAAATTATCTTGAAGGCCGAAGTTTCGAGTTTACACACGGCTCAATCATGGCACCGTTATGAAGCAACATATGATAAGACTTCTTACAAGAACATATTTCGTTTTGCAGGGCCACTCCACATTCTAGCCAAGGGGTTTCTTGCCCCTCCACACGTGGCTCGTGGGGAGGTCGCTGAATGGCCCGCGGTCTGGGCGGCCTGTGGTTTGCGAATTAGGAAAAAAAAAAAAGATCATGGATTCTGGTCTTTTCGCCAGATGTCAATTCTTCACCGCTCAATTCCCTTGATGGTTACTTCTCCGATACTTAGTTTCCCGCTTGGAAAGTTCCCCGACTGAACTAATCTCAACTGCACAGTCTTCTATAGAAATAAAATCCTCTCCCTCCTGTCTTTAAGGCCTTTTCTCCCACCACCATCGGTTCTCACAGGACAGAGACATGAGAAATCAAAGACCGAGGAGGATCTCGAGGTAATGGTAGCGTACAGAAAAATATAAGTACGAGATAGTTCAAACACAGGGGTCCCTTCTTGATTCTTCTCGGTATTAACTCATATCTCACATGCAGTGTTGGATGGTAACGAAGTAAAAATAACGCATTTCGGCGTCTAATTACAATTTGCGGTGATTTCAATGGTAGCGAATTCCTTTGCAAGGGTTAGTTACGGAAGCAGTAACTACAGTTTCTTATCCAAGGAAAATTTCAGGGACGCAACGAGTTACTTTCTTGATAACTGACACAAATTCAAATGAAAGTGATAAGTGCTGTATTACAACATTCATCTTTGCCGTCATTGATATAACCTAGGAAGCTGAAAACCCAGTTCATCAAATCCGAAACAGCGCAACCATTATCGCGATCATTCAATTTATTCAGCATGTACCAATGGCAAAAGCGGAAACATAACATATACTGTACATAGCACAGGCTTCAAGGATCGAATTCGAATTCTATTGTTTTTGGGTCGTATCAAAACTGATAATTCGCTTGACTCAAGTGAAGACGAACCACCTTGCGTCTATGATCAAATACGGGACGAAAGAATGATGTCAACTCTGTACACCTCTCCTCAGCTCAGGAACGTCAGCAAGCTCTTACCATCCTTCAAGTCTTCAATATCTCCTTCCAAATCGATCGGCGATGGGCCATTCTGTGCCTTCTAAATGACTTAAGAAAAGGTTTGACGCACAACCACCTCAGGAAAAAATAAAGTGAAAATGTTCACTTCTAACGGTCAAACCAACTCCACAGTACACAAATTTTGTAATGATTTCTCTCTTGATATTTCATGAAGTATGAATATTTTGAGCTTAGTTTCCGATCACATGAGACCCCTCGGAGTATATTCAAACCTTAGAAACTACTATAGCTATAAATGCGTGTAATTGCATCTGAAAAGTCCGAAATAGAGCCGTATAATCCCGATATCACACAGAAGCAATGCTTCCATAAAAACGTCATTGAATAATGTATGAATTTTTATTTTTCGGCGAAAAAAATCCGGTAGGTTTCACTCACGTCCTAGAACACGGGTCAAGTGTAAAAAATTGTTAATAATCAAATTTGTAAGCAGTAGGCCTGAAAATGTTATTGTGGCTCATTTGCTACAAACAGCATTTTCAGCTTTCTAACCCACGCTGCATGGATGCTAGAGAGCTCAGTTGGTCCGCCACATTCGTGCATACCTCAATACAAAAAGAAAGTGTAAAAATACGGATGAACCTGGAACCTGGATTAGCGTAAAGTTTCTGAAAATTAAATCAAAAACGTCTATCTGCCATACGACGAAGCCAGATTGGTTTCAATTTGCTTGCCGCGAGGAGTGTATGGCACCTAGCGACCGCATAGTTGCTAGGTATAAGGACCGGACTGTTTCACATCTGCTGCGAACAGATTTACCTCAGGAGCTCGCTACCTGCGCATTCTAAAAATATTTATTTGGTATGTAGCACATCTGCTACGTCATGCATTTTATTTTACAATCCCCTGATCTTTTGTAAGGTTCAACAGAATAAAACAAAATGGCAGTGCAAAGAGTCCTTCCTTGACTTGGCTTCTAAGGTTCATGACATAAGTATCTTTACGTTCTCATCGTCTCTACAGAAGAGAATCCGTACCAAAACTTCCGTTTTTATGACGTGAAATGTGATCTCAGTCCTCCCTGTTGTGATCCAGATCAAAATATGCATTATATGGCATATGAAAGGGGATTCCAATGTCGTTTTCGTCAGGCAAATTTGAAAACCTCCATATTTCAACTTCAGTATTCGGGATTAACGAGCTTTCAACCTGTATCTAGCCTCAGATACGACAAAGAAAAAGGCGAACGACAGTACAGATTCGTAAAAAAAAAATAAGCCTTTACTGCGAAATCGGATTCATTTTCAGTTTCTTTTCGTCCATTCTAAGTTCGTCCATTTACAACACGACTTCCCATCCACTACAGACCTTCTTATTGCTAACTTCATTCAGTCAGTACAAAATAGTACTAAGTCATTCCGTGAACATTTCTTTCACAATTGAGGCACAGAAAAACTGATTAAATTAGTTTACATTTGCCTAGACTATGATCCGTAAATAGGTCATACCTCTCCCTATCGAAGTCCATAGAGGGATTCCGTTAAGAATCGTGTTCACTCTCCATTAGCTTGCATGCAGCGACAGGATGACTCCACCTCTTGGTGTTTCGGGCGCGCTTGGTTCGCTGCGACTGAAAATGGGACAAGCGTGCTTCGTGTCGCCCTGCTTAGCCAGCAATGACCATTTGCAGTAGCCTGTAGAAGTATCTATGCGGTAATCTGTAGAAGTAAAGAAACCTGACAATTTTTCACACTGAAAAGCAACTGGAGACATGGAGATCAATTCCAAACAAGATCTGCGACTTGCAAGAGGAAGTCATCGAAATATCTAGCAAACCAGCGAGCATGCTCAATCTCTCACAGAATCCAAGAGCCCAACTTTCTTTTCATGCATTTGAAAGTAAAGAAATGTCACAAGCTGAGCTAGTTTAGAGAGAATCCCCCCTTTTGCTTATGATTGACTCAATTTCATTTCAATACCTTGTTTTAATCGCTTTGTGAAGAATATGGTCGTTGATGGCTGTAAAATGATGACGGCTGCATTATTTAGGTGTCGTCCCCTGAAAGTGTTCGTACATAGGAAACGCATTGGGCACACGTCTTTGCATTTGCTACTCCAGATCAAAGAACGCTAGCGTTGTAGTGGATAAAGGCGGTAGTTCTTGCAAGCGAAGTGGCTGCTGGCGTGTGGATAGCAAACGAGTTCCTCTTCATGAGACTAAATCTTTGCCAGCCATTCGATCAGTAGTCCAAAAGTTCGACACGCATTCGAATTGTTGGCTTCAGCCATGACTCTTATTCGAGGAATAGGAGTCATCTGGTTAGGAACGTTGTCAAGTCATGGAACATCATAGACGCTTTGAGGAGGTACTCAGAAAGGATATTTTCTTGCCCTGCTGTGAAAATCTGACTATGTAGGAAGTTTCTCAGCTTGTTGATGTCTCCATCCACTCTTTCCTTCACCATTCGTCTCAATGCGCATCGAGGTAGGGTAAACGCTGTGAATGTCGGCACTGGGGGTAATCTTGGCACTTTGCGATCGTCAACATTCTGCTTCCGCTACCAGTCCCCTAGACACGGTTTGACAGGGATTCTCAGATGGTGGGACTAGCGTTGTTAGCATGTGCTTGGGACAGCCATATTTACTGTTGTAGTGTTCTCGCTGTGGCTGCCTTGTCGAAGCGCACTCCGAAAATCCTGCGAAATCTTGTGAGTTTGCAAAGCTTTTTGCACATTCCGTTCTTCTCTTAGTATTGTTTTATAAGGTCGTTGAATTCATTTTTGAGTCCGTTGTAAACGACAGTGATACATATGTGTACCGAGATTCCCGACAGCCCAGGTAACACATCCATGTGGAAACAACATTGAGGTACCACATTGATTCAATGTGAAGATGTCATTTTTGTCAACATTGTTTCAACATTCCTTGTTAATGTTGAAACAATATTGATGGCAACATTCATCCATTATGATTTCCACCTTGCATCAACATTCATTCAACATTCCTCAATGAGTCCCTGGTAATTGGGTTCCTCCATGGATCAAAGTAGAGGTAAATTCATCAAAATGAATCGCATGACCTATGAATGATGAACTATATATTCTAAAAAGGATAAATCCTCTTCATTTTCTTTGGGGTCAGTACCCACAGATTGCTGAGAAGTTTAAGAGGATGGGTTCTCTTCAGTTCCACCAACAGCACCGAAACCTTGTGTGCCTGTAAAGGTTTACCAAATGAGGATTAACCCTCTCAGCTCCTCCTATCGTGATTTTAAGATTAGATCACTTCAGAGTATGTTCACGTAGCTCTACATATTGTGACGGTCTTGGCGGCCTATATCGTCAAGTACCCGCCCGGAGTACTGAATCCGGAGTCGTGCGGGGTACTGGCGAGGTCCGTCCTCCAGTCCGCGGACCGGATGCCGACACTTGTGGTAGCTGTGGCCGTAAAGGAGGCNGACCCCAAAGAAAATGAAGAGGATTTATCCTTTTTAGAATATATAGTTCATCATTCATAGGTCATGCGATTAAAGAAAAAAAAAATACACTATATACAATATCGTGACACTATCTAATAGCCTAAACTTCTTTGCGCCCACATGAAACCTGGACATTTAATTTGTTTCAGAATCAGATGCTGCAATCAGAACATCATAATTCCACATTTCTCTAATATATGTGTTCATTAATTACTTAATAAAAAGAGGAAAGTCGGAAGAAAACCCTTTAAAATGGAAGGTGACAGATCCGTAAATGCATTAGGAGGCTACAGGGGAACATGGCTACCATCTAGTGAGGGCTCTTGGTACTTCATTGTGATCGCGCCTAGACCAGTGGTTCCCAGACTTCTTTGAATCGCGACCCACCTGCTGACGTACAGAAAATTTCGCGACCCACCGAAATCCAGAACGAGGTATTTTCAAAGTAATTTTGACGAGGAATATTGATCGAACTTTGCTGCAGGCCGTGTTTTATCCCGAGCGGATGCGGAAGTAGTGATTTTTTATTCTGGGAAAATGTACGCGACCCACAGTTTGGGAACCGCTGGCCTAGACTACACTACCCTGGTAACATAACGTCCATAAAAGGATGCAAGACGACTTGGCGATGACCGTAGGATAATTGGAAATGGTTTATATATTTGTTTCCAAACTAAAAAAATTCAATATTCAAATACATAATAATGGACAGCATGCAACTCAATAGTTGAGGAGTCTCATTTTTTCAAAATTGAAACCATGTTGTGGTAGGTTGATAGCACTCCGAAAACCTATTGGAGAGGATAGAATCTCTTTATCATTTTAAGAGGGGTTAACAATGACGCAAAATCTAAGAAATATAATCAGAATATTCCCCATTTGGAATCCACAATGTGATGTGACAATATTCTATGAACATTGAAACAATGTTTACCTTCAACCCTCAACATTCGCACACTCAATCCACATTCAATGTTGATGAAATGTTGTGTTACCTGGGATCTGCCAAGTCCAACCCATGTCACAAGCTGTTTTCGGCTCACAAGGACCCCAGCGCTGCTTGTGGGGGCTTTGTCCCGAATCATTTTTCAGACGGGGTACTTTTGTGCAGCCCACGAGGAAATTAAGGGGGGGGGGGGAGAGAGAGAGAGAAGCTTAAATACTGGACAATCTCCCCAGACTCCTCCCCCCCCCCAACCACCACCAAATTTGGATTTTGCGGCCCATGAGGCCGTGGCTCATAGGCTGTGCAAGTCCAATAACCTAAAGCATGGGCACATCAGACTGAGAGAAACCTACCCGAAATGGGAGAGACTCAACAAAACTGCAATTGACACGAGGCGAGACATGTGGTACCTCCTGCGTGTGATGACGTCAGACTTTCCAGTGTGGATGCCTCCTTGCATGGGTATCATGCGAGTATCATGTCATTACCATATGTGCGTTCAGATTCTCATGATCAGGTTCATGTAGGCTTAGGGCTGTCGATCTATGTTGCGTAGATGCTGTGCGATATTGCTGTAGACTTAACTGGTAGTGTTTTTCAATGAATTCATACATCCCTAGGTGCCTGCACCACTGTATTCTTCTGTACCCTATCGTGAACATGTCTTGGTAAACGTATCAGTCTGAAAAGGAATTTACTGGGTTTGGACAGTCCAGGTTTACCATGTCTTTCGAACCTTGTATTCCATTGCCGTTGCCACATGACATCCTTCAATCTGTGGCATCGAAAGCAACAGATTGGGCTCTACTGCATGGTGAGACTTAGTTCTACTAAGGTGAATGGTTCACCCCTCCCTGTAAAGTGGAGTGAAATGCTTGGGAGGGTTATCTGGGGGTTCCAGAGTGAATTGACCTTCATGAGCCTTGAGCTCTATGTGCCTCTACATGTATGATTTAGCCTAATTTAATATTAAGGCTATTTTCGCTCATTCAGGAGTTGGAATGAGGCCTAAGACAAGCTTCAGTCCTGACTCCATCACCTTTGCGCCATTCGTCCTTGTTCCTTCCACATTCCCCCATCATGAGTTTATGAAAGTGAAGAGCTTGCAACCTGCCATCAATAAACTCATCCACAGGGTAGCACATGACCAGAAATTCCTAAAGGAATCTCTGATGAAGTGAGAAACATTCTGCTTTTGCTAAATTTTTTGGGTCAGATGTGCTAAAGTAAATGACCTCTTTTCATTTTTCTGCATCCCTCTTAGCACAGTGAAGGTTGATGATTTCACAGGTCGGCTCTTCCAGATTTATGAGGCTGTTCACAGTGAAGGAATTTCTCAGGTGCAGATTTTTCACATCCCTTCTTCTGCGAATTGGTTGTTCTTTCTATTTTTGCATGACAATTCCTTTCAATAAGATGGTTATTTTCTTGTAATGGCCTGGGTACTGCACAACTTTTATAGTGACCAAATGTTTGATGTTTGTTCTTTCACACAATTTTTTTCCCCCCTCTTTAGCCATTATCTCTAGGACTCCTTCGATCGGATGTAATGCTAGACACAACATGCTCCCATGATCCCAACTGCTTTGTTAAGGGAAGGAGTTACTGCTCCCTCAAGCAAGTTGAAGTTAATACCATAGCTTCTGGTTTTGGATGGTTGGGACCAGTCTCTGCATCTATTCATAGGTACATTCACCCCTCACATCTAGTTTTCTACTTATAAACACCTCATCTCAAACTTTGGCTGTCACTATGAAGCATGCAATTATCTAAATATCTGTGTGCATGAGATGGAAAAATGAGGAACAGTTGTGCAACATGCATGCAGTCTAATAAGGATTTTTTAATCATTATTAATAGAAATGGGTTCTCCCAAGTCTTTCACTGACTGCTTGTGCCCTCTTCTGCAGTGGCAATTTTTAGCACCAACTCCACAAAACAGTGACCACTTCATTTTTCTTTGATAATTTAAAGGTAGACATAGATAGGAGCTTACTTGGTTTTTTGTTTTTAAATTGCTTGTAAGAGTACTTTCCTCTTCAAGGCATCAGACAGACATAGCTGGCCGAAATGAATTTAATAAAAAGTTTCAGATTCAATTTTCAGACAATTTTAAGTAAATAGCCTTCATGCCCCAAGTAAAATATTTAGAGAAAAAAAACACACAAGGAAAATACATGAGGAAACAATGAAAAGAAATTTGTGAAGAGTTAGTAGAGGAGAGAAAGAAATTTGAAATGATAGAAAATGAAGTTAAATGCAAATGTTTAAAGAACTGCAAAATTTCTAGTAGATGGGGATGAATGGAGTTAGTAAAATGAAAGACATTGCATTGAAGCCATAGAACAAATTAAGTAGTTGAACCAACAAGGATGAAGCAGGCAGCTATCTTTGGCACTGAATATCTTACGCAGATTATGTGAGGCATCATGTCGAATAAAGATAGACAACTCATTCTGTGTTTTCAGGATTCAGTAAAGTACTTAGTATTTGTAGGGCTTGTTTCAGAGGAAGGTGATCCAGTCATGCTGAGTTCATTTTTGTGCTGGCAATATTAATTGTGCTCTATAATTGTCAGGATGAAACCCTTTGCAAAAGAGGAAAATAACTAGAGAGAAAAACAGTCATTCTAAATTTGGATACAATGAAAATCTTGAAGAAAAATTTTTTTTGCACTACCAATAGAAATCCCATATTATTAAAAAAGAATTACATTTACAGCAAACTCCCTTAACCCTCATAGTCCCAGAATCAATTAGATCAATGCTAGTGATTTCATTTTAAAATGCCTGAGTCAAAGAGGTGGCACTAAAAGGGTAAGTGTTCGAAAATAAAAAAGGTTGAGCACTCTGGTGAAAGCCATTCCTTATCCCTTTTTGGTGCCTGCTTTTTGAGTCTGGGATTTTTGAACAAAATTCTTAGCATCAATCTTGACTGGCACTATGAGGGTTAAAGCAAAGCATTTTGCATAGTCTCCATCCCTCTTTATCATGACAGGCATTTACTATAAATGTCTGTTTGCTAATGGCATGAGATCAAGTTTTCTTAGGCATTCATGATACTGTAGAGCTTTTTTTTTGTCACTCATTTTGTTCCATGCTCCAAAGAATGTGTAATCATATCAAGTAGGAAGCCATACCTAAGAGCTGTATAATTTTCAGAAAAGGTTTGTGGGTTCATCTCTTCGTTGGTTATGCAGGTTTCCTCACGTGCTGCATAAAGCTAAACTTGTCAGCAGGTGTCTGCATGGAATTGATAGATGACACGGTTTTTGTATCCAACAATAGAATTTAATTCCCCAAACTTTTAAAATAAAACCAATCATTGATATCTGGTTATTCTAGAGCACAGTGAAGTCTTAGAAGCACAACCATATTTTTATGAGTCAAGAAAGTATCATTTAACATAGGTTAAGAACCATTGCTTGTTTATGAGAGTTCCAGGATAGGATGTTGGAAGTTAGTGCCAATCACTTGTTTGATTTATGAAATAGAGTTCATTTGATGACTGATCAGGTATACAGCCCATTGTCCTTGAAAATTCCAGAGGAAAGAGAGGACTTTGGAGTTTTTGTTTTTCAGAAACATATAATTTCCTTGACATAGAAAGAGGGTTGAGATCGCAATGTTCTGTGTGCTCCTCTATAAGAGGCAAATATTAAATTGTGTTTATGAAGTGTTACTTGTAAAGAAGAATTAGCTTGAGGGGATATTTGAGAATGTCATTTATAAATAGAGCAAGAAGATCTGCATCTGGGGATTGATTCTTGAAGAGCACAGAAAGCACTTTAACCTACAACAGGGATTTTTCTCTCAGCAACAGTTACTGGTATGCAAAAAGGAATTAGCCAAAGAAAAACAATTTTTAATGCTTTCAAGTCAATGTCACAACTAAAGCAACAGTAGTACAAGAAGAGAGACAAGTTTTATTTTTCCTCCTATTACGATAACAACACACACACACACACACTCTTCATGTACAACTACTTTTTTGTATCAGTTCCTAACACATGCAGACACCTGCATTGTGACTGGATCTCCCAGTAATACACACTGCTGTATTTTATGCAAGCTTAATCATACAATATTCCAAGTCAAGTCTGTTACACCCCATTTTGTCTTCCCACTGATTTAGTACTACCACATATGTGGATGACTATAGTTGTCTTGTCTCACAGAAGGGCTTCAAGGATGAAGACTATAGCCATCTTGTCCACCAACATGTTAATCACAATCACAACTTCATAAAATTCCCAACAAGGCAAACTTAAATCTCTTTGGAATTGTAGCTGTGCTGCTTGTGTATCCTCACAAGGAAGGTTCCTGCTATTCAAAAAAAGGTTTCATGTAGGAGAAGATTCTCTTCACATCTTCATTTGGCATGGGAGTTGGCCTACTGAGAATAAATGTTGCCCATATTATGTTCATAATCTGAATGTTTTTAAAAAAAGAAAAAGACTTAATTTTTTTTTCTTTTGTGAGTTCTCCATTTTCATCATTAGATTCAATGGGTTTTGAGCATCTTGTACTGTTTTTCACTTGACTGGGACACTTGTGTGGAATGATCCTCAGATATGATTGCTGATTCAAGAGAAAAGCACTGTCTTATAATAACCAAAGGATATGGAATACAGCATTAAAATACTGAACTTATAAAACCTATTATTAGTCACCCTGAGGCTCAAACATGGCCCCTTTCTCACTTTGCATTCAGTTATTGGAGTTTTCTTCTAATTTCCTTGCAGAGGATAAGCCTGGGACTCTTGAGATCAGACTACTTCTTGCATTCTTCCACTGGACGTGTGTTGCAAGTAGAAGTAAACACAATAGCATCTAGCTTTGCTGGAATTGCTACACAGGTGTCTCTCTATCATAGGTATGAACTTCCCTCCTCCTCAATGGGACTTGTATCTTCTTTACCTGTATTCCTTTGCTTTTGTAACTCCTGTCCAACAATCCTGACAAACTCATTTTTCTTGGTGGCAATTATTGCATGGCAGTAATTTTCTCCTGGATGCTAATTTGCTTTTTTGAATCCATTCTTTCAACATATGATTTCTTGAAAGCAGTGCAGGGCTACTTGACAATGAAAGCTAATATAAGTCCCAAGCTTGTCTGAGATGGTAGGTATACCATGGTATACCAGGCCCACCTGAGGTGGGCCTGGTATATGGCTGATCTGAAGCACAGTCATTGTTTGATTGTAGATAGTGTTTGTGGCCAGCAGTGTTTGTAGTACACAGCTATGTTTGTCAATAGATGGTCATGACAGCAGACTTATTTTTAAAGCAAAATATTTTACATTTCTGGTATTACTTTAGCTTTGATTTTTGCATTATGAATCTAAAAACTTTTATTGCTTCATATCTGATTGCATGACAAGAATTTCCTGCTGAGTGTGACACTACTTCCCATAGGGATGCACTGATACGCATAGCCAATCTGCTGATTTTACATTTTTTATTCCACTACCTCTGATAGTTGTTAACTGCAGAGTCATTCAGGTATTAGCTATACAGTATATAATGTAAATCAGAACTAGGGGTCAAATTATATTTATTCCATAATGCTTCTCTAGCTTTCTTTTAAATCTGATTATGGATCAGTAAGTGGCCAGAGTATATAGGTCTTGCACATGTCTGGTGGTTGAAAATTGCCCTTACCCTAGGGATGAGGTATTCATGTCTGTAATGGAATGATTGCTCATTTCCCTAAAGGGTTCTCAACCAATTCATCCCTTGTCTTCTGGATATTCTAATGTTGGGTGTAGCTGTCAACCATGTGGTGGTGCTATTGAAACACAAAATTTTGTACTTGGTCTCAATATATTTTAGCTCCCAGATTTCAAGAAGCTCATGTCTTTCACTTTCTTGCAATCACATGCAAGTATTGGTATTGTATTGGTTGTTCCTTGCTTGGTGCATCATTGTGTTAAAATTTCTTACCTAGGATAAATGAGTGCACCATGCAGCACATGATCCATGAAGTCTGAGCCAGTCCCGATCCAGAATCAACATGAATTAGCATTATTTGTACTCTGGCTCTGAATAAGGTATCATCTGGATAGATGAAATTGTGAGACATGTGTCTTATCCTCATGAGCCCAAGCTGGCCTGAAAAGAATCTCATGCCTAATGTGCCACATTCACAGGTGGTGGAATGAAAAATTTAAACAGGATCAGGATTGGTAGTTTGGCTGTGTGTGTATGTGGGTATCCAGTGCATCCTGAATTTCCTACTTCTTTTTACTTCTTTTTTGCAAATTTTGCAGGTATATCCTATCAGAACTGGGTGCCTATGAACATCTTCAATATGTAAGTCATGTTTGTATATTTATGTATGATACATGAAACTGGTTGCTCATTGTTACATTTACAGTATGATTCAACTCAATATCAGGTTGATATATTCCCACAGCCTTGGAGTTCTAATGTATATTCTGCTTTAGTGATGTCCATAATGATTGCAGTCAGGCATTAATTTTTTATTTTCAGCTTCCAGACAATCAAGCCCTCCAGAGTCTTGTAGCAGGAATGCTTAAGGCTTGGGAAATGTATGGATGTGAACAGTAAGTCAAGAAGTGAACATTCCAACCAAAAAAAAAAACACAAGGCTGCATGTGGTAACAGTTCAATCAATCATGCATATCTTTTGTCATTTTTTAGAGCTGTCATCTTGTTCATTGTGGAAGATATCACCTACAACATCTGTGATCAGAGGTTTCATGAGTTTCAGATTCAAACCCAGAATCCCAAAGTTAGAGTCATGAGATGCACCCTGACAGATGTTGGGCAATATGGGACATTGGACAAGGAAAAGAAACTTTATGTGTGAGTGCAATCATGGTGCATTGATATAAGAACCAGCATCAGTAAGTCTTCAAATTTGCTCTATCTAGAAGTGAGCTGGTGCCACCTGTTGCAGGAAGGGAAAAGAAGTTGCTGTTATTTACTTTCGTGCTGGTTACAGTCCCGAACACTATCACAGCTCATTGGAATGGGATGCTCGACTGCTTATGGAGAGGTCTAAGGCAATCAAGTCACCCTCGATACAATATCATTTGGCTGGAACAAAGAAGGTTAGTGTTTGATCCCTGGCATTTCTCAAGATATTTGCAGATGTGCAGTAATAATTTTGCTATTCTACCTCCCACAGGTACAACAGGAGCTTGCGCGTCCCAATGCTGTGGAAAGGTTCATAGAAAATGAAGAAGATGCAAAGGCTATTAGGGCCTTATTTGCTGGACTATATTCACTTGATATGGTGAGAGCATAGGCCATGGAAATCTTTCTTTCCCCACCCTATCTCCATAGTATAAAATATCAGTCCAAGGCTATTATAATTCCTGTCAAGATGGGCAATAAGGACTGGATTGCTTGAGTTTTATATGGTATCTCTCAGAATGAAGAAGGTGATGAATCAGTGAAGATGGCAATTAAGAACCCACATGCATATATCTTGAAACCTCAAAGAGAAGGAGGAGGGAATAACATCTATGGAAAAGATGTTCGAGAAACACTGGAGAGAATTGGGAAGAAGAAGGAACGAACAGGGTATATTCTCATGGATAGAATCGTCCCTCCAATTCAGAAGAACTACATTGTCCGGCCTGGCAGTGCACCTGAGTTGAATGATGTCATCTCAGAACTTGGGATCTTTGGAACTATTATTGGGTGCTTCCCTTATTTTACATATTTTATGAGTATTCTTGCCTTGAACCTCATACTGATGGGTGAATGATTCTGTGTTTCAGAGACAGTGAGGAGATCTTCTGGAATCAGGAAGCTGGGCACATGCTGAGAACCAAGCTGTCTACTGCTAATGAAGGTGGAGTTGCTGCTGGTGTGGGAGCTCTTGACAGCCCTTACCTCTTCAGTTAAAGAGCTCATGGCACATGTCATTGTCATATGATGTGCAATAATCATTTGCTTTCTCTCAACAATAATGACAGATAGTGAGTAATTATTTAGCATTTGCAATGCATTCCCTGAAGACCAGATAAATAAATTATTTGCATTTTTACTTACCTATTATTTTTCAAGACATCAAAGTGGCATTATGTAGAAAATTTAGAGACCTGGTTGAGGAGTATAAGGTTTGAGGCTTGTCTTATAAAAATGTACCTTTATTGAGGAATGAAGGGAGCTTGCAAACCTTTTGGGACTAAGCTGTAGGATCACCAAGTGAGAAGCATCTCCCATCTTTGTCATTGCACCTGACTGAATGTGAAAGGTGAGGGTCCCTTTTAGTCCTCCTCAAATGTTTCAAAGGTTACCAATCAATGCTGTTAAAGGCTGTGCCTGTGCTACCTGCAGTCTGAGCTTTTCTCCTCAAAGTTGTGACAGGCTCTGGGATACTTGAGGCTCCCAATCTGATGCTGGCTTCAAGACTGCCTTAGCTTTTGGTGATAAAAATGACTGAATAATTTCAATTTATTCAATATTGCCACTATATACAAAGAAAATACTATGACTAACAGGGTAGATGTTCCGTTAGTCAGGAGGCAACTGAAAAATATGTGGAGAATGGTACCAGAACCCCCTCCCCTCCCCTCCCAAAAGGAATGACCGAGTTCACTCCCATTGGGTTGATCGTCTCACTCCCATCTTTGTGTGCACACAGTCCTGACCCCTCAGGGGTCACCCCTGTCACCTGATGGGAAATAGGAGAAACTAATCGCTCCTACCGCTCCAGTAAAAAGTTAATTTCATCTCCTCAATTAGTGACCTTGAAAGACCCATGAATAAGTTACTTAGATGAATAACTGTAATGGCAGAGGGAGGGAGGTAGGATGGGCGATGTCTCCACAAACCCTGAATGAAGGGCCTTGAGCCCTACTATTCTCAGGAAGACGAAAGACAGACAATCGCCAGGATTACCTGAGGAAGGAGGAATTACAACCAAATCTCATATAATCCCAAATTATCCTTATGTAGCATAAACTCAATGTCGGTTTTTAGCCTCGATGCACCTTAAATGAGTATTCGTAGACTCGCTTGAAAGAGACGGAACAGAAGGAAGATGAGAAGTCGTGCTACCGTATGCATGAACCAAGGTGATGACTCCCATCAACGACAGTCGAGAGCCCTAAATTCAAAATAAGACTATTCTCCATGCGGCGTTTTCGCCTTCCTAGGAACAATCTCATCCAACCTATTGGTCTCCCTCTCTCTCTTTATTTGGTTTCTAAATATCTTCCCACTTGAGCGTGATGGAACTCTCAACGGCCAAATAGGTGATGACGAGCATCGTGTCCAGGGTATTAACGTGAAAGATCATGAGTGACCTTTCACGCAAGTTTTTGTGTACTTCAACCAGTGCTTTGCTCCTGCCGCCGTCGAGCAAAATCTGCTAGTATAAGGACTTGCCCGCTCTCATAGAAGATTCTGCCGGAGGCCTCGCGAAATCGTAAGGGACTAACGCGAGAGCCAAGTCCTGCGAGCGTGAGTAGCAACGACGTGAAGATGAGCTGAACTTTAGAAGGGACATTGACGGTGTCTGGCATGATGCCGATGGAACCCATGAGCGCGATGAAAGGGAGTCCAAAGTTAGTGGATCAATACTTCCACGCTGAGATATGCATTTCATGGTCAAGAAAAGAGATTTGTGTAGTAGAGGCCGATTCCAAGCCGTCAATGAGTCAAAAACTTGCCCAATGGGACATCAGCGCAAACCAAGAGTCCAACTACGCAAATAACGGCCGATTGTTTAGAAGAAACGTGAATGACATCCCCTAATAGAAAGAAATTACAGTGAAAACTCGTTAACTCGAATCCTGATAAGTCGAAATTCCGCTTATCTCGAAGTTCAAAGCTTGGTCCCGGCGGAACCCCGTAGAACACCATGTTAAATGCTCCGTTTAACTCGAATTCGCTTATCTCGAATTTCCGGATATCTCGAATGAAATTTTCACTCCCGATAACGAATTTCTCACGGTTAACTCGAATTCAGGGTGAGAAGGGGTGAAAAA